GACAAAAACACAAGCTGTTTTTTCTGCTGTGGATGTATCCACGGGCACTGCAGGCCCTGGGCTGCAGTTGGTCACACCAGCATCACCCCAGGCATTGCTGCTGTGCTGGCCTGCACAGGGAAACCTCAGCATGCTGGGTGAAAGGGATGGCAACCAGAGAAATCCTCTCAACCAAAGGCATTGAGAACAAGAGTGAAATGCAAAGGGAATGCACTGGGAGAAGGGGAATTAAGTAGTGTCACCAGATGGTAGTGTGAGCCTCAGTGTTCCCTGTGAGGAGCCTCCCCCCTCCTCAAAAGATTTCAGCAGTTCATGGCTACTTAGAGAGAAGTAGGGAGCGATGCAGGTCCCTGCAGGGGACCACAGATGATCAGGGTGAGATCAGGACTGAAGCTATCTGTAAGCAAACCAAAAAGGGGTGATTCCTGCAGGAAAGCTGCAATGGAGAGATTACTACTTCTGCGTAATGCAACACTGCAAAAAGATCCCTGAGACCACTGTCAAGCTAAGAGCAGTGTACTGCATCAACACAGCACCGTGCCTCAAGAGTCCTACCGAGCAGCAGAACTAATCAGCCAAGGCACAGATGCACATTAACATGGCATCTCAGATGGCTGAGGTGAATCTCCCAAAGCCTCTGGGGGCTCTTGGCTACACAGACACTGTTCACAAAGCTGGAGAGAGAAAAAGGAAAATGCTGGTAAAATGTGCTCAAGGTCAAACACCACATTGGTGAGAGGACTGAGAACAGAACCTGCACTTCCTCGCCCCTCCACTTTCTTCACTGGATCATAACAAAATACCAGAAGAACAATGGGGTTTTGCTGCTGGTGACACAGTAGCTTCACAGTAGGTATTCTGGTATAGAATCAGTGATTTCTTTCCCCTATCCTTTGTACTAGCCCAGCACAACATTTCAGTGACAGACACAAGAAGATACCACCAGATGTCTTAAAGGGGAATGAAAACTGTCCTATTAGTCCCCAGCACTGTACAGACCCAATCTTTTGTTGTAAGTTGATAAAAGACAGCGAAATGCCATTTGCTGCTAAGTGACTTGTAATGATTAAATAAGGTTTCTCCTTCCATCATCTCCACCCCACCCATGGCATTTAGTGATAATATAAGACAGATTTTGCAAGTTGTTTAGCTTATATGGCCATCTGGCACTTTTGCATTTCAGTAGCCTTGAACATTGGAAAAACAACAGATAAAGAAAACCAGTTTTATCTTATCAGAAACCTGGAGAAGTTTAACTCTCTCAGAGTACAAAGGATTAACCAGGTCACTATAGCTCTTCATTTATAGTTCCCATCTTAATTAGCAGTCATATTCTGCAAAGGTTTTCCACTCTAAACCCAGTTGTTCCTCATCTCCTTTGCTGTTGTTTAGGTGGTGAAACACTTCACTCCAGCAGTTGCACCCAGCTTCTAAATAACACTCTGTTGCTGGGTGATGGAATCACATGCTGAGAAATAAACCACAGGTTCTAACCCTGAATAAAAAACGAAGGGTGTCTTGTCAATGCTTGAGGGGAGGATGCTCTTTTCAAATGAAAACATAGTGGTCCTGACTTAACTCAATTAGAAGCCTACCTAATGCTGCTGAAACATCAACTAATACCACTGCACTAAGCAGTTTCTTCATCTGCTTTTGCTAAAGGGGATAGCTGTACAGTTCACCCACAGTAACCTCACTCCAAGCAGTGCCTGGAAAGAACTCAAAGTGTGCTCCCCGCTCAGCGGTGGCTTAGGGCTGATCCTGCATTTGTTCTTGGGTTAATTCCTGCTCCCATCTTCCTTGGGGGGGGGGGAAAGAAAAAAAAAAAGTGAATCTCTTTGGAAGTGAATGTAATTTCCTTAAGAATATGGTTTTAATACAGCTTTTGGCCTCGGAGCATGAGACCAGCTGCAGGATGCTTCCACCTGTAGTGCTGAGTGAGAAGGACTTTTGACTGGAATCTGTGACAGCAGGGAATGTTCATTGTAAACACAATGTAAATAACAGAGGATGTAAAGATATGCAGATAAAAACTACCCTTGTCGTTTTTATAGACCTTGTAGTTTTGTAGACCTTGTTTTCAAATACACCTCACATTTTCTGATTGCTAGTTTGCATTTTAGACTCCATGCAGTGAAAGCTGGGATCTTATAAATGTGCTACAACATCTGACTGCTAGGTATCAGGCTGCCAGAGTGCAATTTAACACCTCGAGTCAGGTACCTCGCCTTGCTATTTATAACCCAGTAAGTGTGAGACAGCTCCCAAGGGTGAGTGGAAACTCCCACCTCCCTTGCAGAGACCTGGCTGCAGGAAACATTACAAGAGGGCTCGTCCAATGGAGCGAGGTTACCACTTTATTTTTAACACCGTGGGCTGCAGGGACTGTGCTTGATGTGGTTTATTGCATATAGTTGAGGCAGTAGAGAAAACACCCCAAAAAAGGGAAGCTCTCCTTGTCCTGGTGAGAGTCCCAACATACATCTCCTTCTTGGCCCAAGGAAGGACTGTAGGCATGCTCCCCTCCCAGGCTATAGGCTGACACATCAGGGGGTTCGTGGGTCACCGTCACTGCTGTGCTACTTGTACTCCTGGTGGAGGCCTTCTTCCTATGACAGCAGCAGCTACGTGATGCTGTGGACTACAGCTTTGTAACTCCATTTGCCTGAACTTTTGCCAAAAATATATTCAGAAATTGCAATTTCTACTCTATATTTAAGGATAGGTTTCTCTATGTATTGCTCTCCAGTAATGGGCATTTATGCAAAGGTGGTAAAAATTACCCTCACAAAACACAATATTTCACACGAAAGAATGAAAAGTAGAGTAGGAAGAGCACTTTAGCAGATTTCCACAAAATGATTTCTCTGGTACAAAATGTATCCGATAATGACACTCACATTGTCAAGAAATGGGGAAATTCTAATTGGTTCTCAAAGCTTCAGTGGCTTAAATGTAAGCATATTATCACAAAATCATCAGGACTGCATGAGAATGACACATTTAATCTTTTGGGCATGGATAATATCTGTATAAGATAATGGGTTTATGTATTCATATTGCTTTTTTATCTCTATTAAATGCTAATGTGCTTTTTCTTAACACAGTAAAATCAGTAGCAATCAGGAATTTGGCTGGAAAAAAAAATACCATGCTTTATCTTAACGTGACATTGAAATACTTTAAAATTGTGGCATTATTCAAATACAAAAAGACCACTGCAGTGTCCTAGATATCGTTAGTGGAAAGTGTAATTGCAGTGCGTTAAGGAAACTCATTCTGGCTGTAGCCTACCCAGCTCAGGTAACAACCAGTGAAGCTGCAGGCACAGTCTGAGCTTGCCAAGGACCTAAGTTACGTTCTCACCTTACCAGTTTGCATGGAGTGTGCACTGCTAGGCTATCACTGATGTTACCTGAGCTGGTGAGGTTAAAGCCCAGGCTGTAGTACAGCCATGCTGCCTAAACTCAGTACTTACAGACACTCAAGAAGAAATTAACTGAACAATGGCTCTGGTCTAGATGCTCTCCCGGTACGAAATAAGAAAAAATGATTTTTGGTTGGAAAACTGTTTGTTGGTGTTGTTGTTTTTTCTGAAAGCCAGTGGTTCAGCATGATTCAAATTACTGGTCTTTATTCTGATATCATAGGTTAGAATTCTTAAATGCTCTCAAATTCCACTGATCCAGGGGGAAAATGGCAGTAATAAAATGCAGTAAAGAGTCAGGACTACATTGGATTCCATGGGCAGAATCAATACAAATACAAACTCCTGTAGCTGTTGTTTAATAGGGTCTTTTTTTATACCACTGGGCTACTTCGGAGCCTCAATAAACTCCAAACTGTTTATTATTATTTTACAGTAAATGAAGAACTTTATGGCCAGGATTTTCAAAGTTTCCAAATCTTTGCTGTATCCCTGGGCAGCCCACAAGAGGAAAACGTGTGGTGGCATTTCTCTGCCAGCTGCATTCTGTGATGCACAGAACCAGTAGCAAATGGTGCAAAGGAGATCACTGCTGCAAGAAGCAGCTCGGCACTCAGACTGTGCAGCCTTTAACCCACTTCTTGCTGTCTCCATTTACTGTAACCGCATTTAAATAAAAATTTACTGATGTTTTAGCATACCACCATTAGGAGATGCTACTTGCAAGACATGGCTGTTGACCAGTGCTGACCACTGTACTCAGCAGTTCCCTGTATGGTTATATTCATACAGTGTCCACATTTTTGCAGTGCCACCAAGTGGCTGATTTCCTCATCAACATTTCTGCATTTTTATCGCGATAAAACAAGTGGAGAACAAATCACCTTGCATGTGAGAGGCACCAAACACAGCTGCACAAGGAAGCCGGGACACTGCTTTTGGATTTATACTCCTGCATATGAGAGAATGACCATGAATGATACATAACAGGTAGGGAATATATTAAGTTTCTCAGAAAAGCAAGGTTATCCTTGACATAGCTGAAAAATCCTATGGCGCGTTCACAAGTCTCAGACAATACTGAATTCATGCCCTTACAGGGCAAAGTTACCTCAGGAATTCCTCATGCAATGGTGGCAATGCTCCATGTCACCTTCTTCTCGCTCACAGAACCCTCTGAGAACATCAGTGCTTTTCTGTCACAACACAACACAACCGGAACAACGCCCCTAAATCGGCTCCCTGAGGTGGCAAGCACAGCAGGTAGGCGTATGCTGGCAGCAAGAGCTTGGCATGGCTCCTCAGAAAGCCTAAGCGAAGTCCAGAGGGCACAGACCCCCCCCCCCACCCAGACCGCCGAAATAAAATGATAAAAACCCCACAGCGCCTCAGCCCGCCGCCATCTTAGAGCCCCTGCACTTCCAGAGGACTCCACCCCGCGCAACTCGCCAGCCAATGAGCGGCAAGCGCGGGGTGGGGCAATGTTCAGCGCAGCCAATGAGCATCAAGCACGGCGATGACGCTGACCAGTAAACAGCTCACTACGCGAGTTAGGCTCTGCCCATCAACCGTCCGTTAGGAGGGAGCCAATGAAAGCCCGGTGATTGGCCGGAGCTAGCCAATCAGAGGCGCCAGGTGAAATTTGAAAGCGAGTGGAGGCGGCAGCGCTGAGGCAAGCGGAGCGGCGGGCCCGGCAAGGTATGGCGGGGCTGGCAGCGCGGGCAGCGCGGGAATGGCATCGGGACGGAGCACCTGAGGCAGCCCTCAGGGGGGAGCTGGGAGGTGGTGTGCGGTTTGCTGTAGTCCCCGAGGATCCAGGTCCTGAATCGGGCCGCGTTCCGACTTTAAAATGTTATTTGTGTTTGCTGTGATCTGTAAGCACCGGGGCTATAACAGACTACTGCTTTCTTCCTGGCCTTTCTTAATCCAGGATGTGGGATGAGGGTATCTTTGTGTTAAAAGTGAGTGGGGAATCTGTCTCTACCTACATTGCATTTGTGTTCTTCAGGTTTCACACGATCGTGTCTGCAAGATTAATTGTTCAAAAGCAATTAAAAAGCTTAAAAAAGCTTTTTTTTTTTTTAATCCTAAAAAGCTTAGAAGTTTGCTGTTAATGCTTATCCGTGGCAGAAGGACCTAAGAAAGCCTATAGTACAATAGCTGGAGCCACACTTTCTTAAAATAGAAGGCAAAGCATGAAAGTCCTTGAAATGTGTTAAAATCTTTGCCAGGTTTTTGTAAGCTTGCCTGATACCTAACAGCTACTGTATGGCTCTGGTACCTTCCACAATTTAAAAAACATGCGTGCAGTCTGGATAGGCTGCTGTGTTTATAGAGAACAGATAAGGAGACTCAAACATTGGAAATTTGACCTATAAATTGTCGGAGTCCTGAGGATTCCCTGTGTATAGCATGTATTTTTTCTGATAGCTCAGGCAGAAACTTCATGATCTCTGCTCATACTTTGGTACATTTGGATGGTATCTCCCTACTTTGCTCCCCTGTTCTTTGCAGATACCCAAGCCTAAGTGCTGCTACAGAGTAATTAAAGAGATAAGGAGAGAATCATTCTGATGTTAACAAAGCCAGGTACCCATCCTTGGGCAGACGGACTCCTCGAGTAGCTTGCTAGGTGTCACAGTTCTAAGGAGGAATCAAGTAAGGTGGGAGTCTGGAGGGATGGCTCTTACAGGATTGATGCACCCTGTATTAATCTTAGAATGGCCTGGGTTGAAAAGGACCACAATGATCATCTAGTTTCAACCCCCTGCTACGTGCAGGGTCGCCAACCAGCAGACCAGGCTCAGAAGTGAGCAGTTGGGATCATACACAGACAGCTAGCTTTTAGTTGAAAGAAACGTCTGTTTAGTTTGGATAAACTTCTTGGCTGAGCCTCTCAAATCTTTAATATTATCATCTTCACCACTGTGATGTCCACAGAGGATGGCTGTAGGGTCTTGATGGTAACTGCTGCTTTTAAGAATGGTTTTCTTTTGGTGGGTATAAAAAAAACTGCCTATTGTAGGAGGTAGAGAGTAGAGGTATACTTCCACTATTTCCTGAAGGGCTTTTAGTAACACCATAGAAACTACTAACAAGATCAGCCCAAAGATGATTATTGGAGAAGTTCATGGATTAACATTCCTTAATTGCTTACCTGTAATTTGGAGTAAATATGACCTGTGAACTATGGTAGACTCCATCTGGTCATTTGCAATCCTTAACTGGCATCTTTAATGAATTTCTGAAAGTTGGAACATGAAATGAAAAGACATTAACCAATGGAAGATATTAACCAATCAGTTGGTACTGACATGCACCAGGACATGCTTCCAAGATCATATGGAAGACATCTGGTCTCTGACTTGGGTACTTTAAGCTGAGTTTTGCTTTTTTATTTCCATTTGATCGTTTAAACTTCCTTAAGCTGTTTTGTCCTCCTGCAGTGCTAAGCATATTGGGGAGAAAAAGATGCAAAGCATAGCCATATAGATTTCTGACTCATTCATTGTCTCTAATATCTATCCCAAGCCCTTCCAAATGGCTGTGCAAGCCCTGCTGGTGATGTGCAAGTTATTCTGGGCATAGCTACTGCCATGAAGTTGGGCACAAGGAGCTGCCACTGCCCACCCCAGAGCACAGACTCACCTTATATTCCCCTCCCCAGAAGCATGAGAACTCTCAAAAAGGCTTCAGTAGGGTGCAGGGATTCGTGCTTTTTGCATTGCAGTAAGCACAGCATGTACAGATCAACTGTTGCTTTCATCAGGTCTTCCTCAAGTTAAAAAAGTAGGCAGAAATCCTGCTGGAAATAAATGCTATTGTGTTACAGTTGCATCCTGGAAACTCAATTAGGAACCAGAGCCAAATACTCTGATGCACGACAAAAATGCCTTGCCATCAGATAGGGCATAAAGTAAATGCTTAGTGGCAATGCTGCTTCCAAGTATTGTCCTACAACCTTGTCATTTGCTTGCTTGTCTCCTTAACGAGAAAAACATCTGTGTTGAAAACAGGCTAGTCAGTCCCTGGCAATGACAAAGCCTTCCCTGCTAATTCTTTCTCAGAGCTGTTGATTACTTAGCAAGCAAACGAGCACCTTGACTACATAAAATGAAGAGTCATTGCTGAAACTGTTATTTGTACATGTACCAGAGCAAATGCAGCAATGAAGAAGCTAGATCTATCTTTGTGACGTACAAACTCGAATAAAAAGGGCACGACAAACCTTGTCTCCTTTTTTCCTGTCGTTACCATTTTTGTCCAGGATAATCAAGATGGCTGCTACCTCCCACTTTGTCAGTCGGTACAAAAAGGATTTGAGCACAGAAACCATCAGAACAAAAGTTGCTCGCAGAAAATCCATGCTCCAAAAGGAGAGCAGACACAAGTTGTTTGAAAAGGGCAGACAGTTTGGACTGACAGATGTCAATGTTCAGGTGTCAAAAACGAGGGGGATTTCTCAAGGAAGTGGGGCAAGCGAAACGTGCTCACAGGAGAACAGCAGTTTGAAACAGAGTAAGTAAAGCCTTGTTATATAGCTTTTTAATTTGTTAAATGTGGTCTCCATGTTTTAATTTATAACTATCAAGAAAATAGACTTAATACCATCCTTTATGACTCCAGGACTGTTTTTAGTCTTTACTTAATTTTGTCCACAGCCTCCTAAGGAAGGATGCATTGTGCTGTTAATACTCACTAGGATGGCTTTGTTATTCAAGAAGTGAACCTTCGATTTATAATTTCATCTCTGTAAAACTGCTATCTGTCACAGGCTTTAAGAATGGTTAGAAATTGACAATGCATCTTACAATTTTATTTTTAATTTGCTCCTTTTTGTCAATTCCTCCTTTCTCTGGGAAAACGAGTCTTGCACGTTCTGGATTCTGCCTGTGTGGCTCTTCTGTGTGCTGATGGCTAAAGAACTAAGTAACTCTTTAAAGGTATTAAAGTGTTCTCCACCTTCAGTATTTTGATAGGAAAAAATAATTGAAGAAAAGACTCAAATCCCTATGGAATCACATCAAATACATGACTTGAGAAATTACAGCCTGGTCATCTTTGATGAACTTTAACATTCAGTAGGTTTGTTTTGTTTTTCCAGACAGACACATCACAAGGTTTTGTTCTCTCACATTTCATGTCACTTACTCTGAGCTTCCAGCAGACTTCAGTATTTGGTATCTAAAGCTGACTTGATCTTCAGCTTCCAGTGATAATTACACAACTGTAGAGTTGACTGCAACTCATTGAACATGGCCATACAGTCCATGCAAATATTTCAATAGAGAAGCTGGTACAAAACAGCTAATCAACAATCTAATGCCTAAGTGTTTACTTTAGTACTAATAGCCTTGCAGGAGCAGCCTGTACACTATAAAATGGCATGAACTTGCAGCACTTTTATAGAATCCTAGCATGGCCTGGGTTGCAAAGGAGCACAGCGCTCATCCAGCTCCAACCCCTGCTGTGTGCAGGTCGCCAACCAGCAGCCCAGGCTGCCCAGAGCCACATCCAGCCTGGCCTTGAATGCCTGCAGGGATGGGGCATCCACAGCCTCCTTGGGCAACCTGTGCCAGTGCCTCACCACCCTCTGGATGAAAAACTTCCTCCTCATATCCAACCCAAACCTCCCCTGTCTCAGTTTAAAGCCATTCCCCCTTGTCCTGTCACCACCCACCCTCAAACAGCCATTCCCCTCCTGTTTATGCACTTTTCAAGTACTGGAAGGCCACAATGAGGTCTCCCTGGAGCCTTCTCTTCTCCAAGCTGAACAAGCCCAGTTCCCCCAACCTTTCCTCACAGGAGAGGTGCTCCAGCCCTCTGATCATCTTAATGGCCTTCCTCTGAACCCGCTCTAAAAGTTCCCATCCTTCTTGTACTCTTCTTGCTGACCTGGTGTGTTCATCTTGGGTCTTGCAATGTTTTTCTAGCAGTTCTCCAACTTGCTTAGTTTCTGACTTTGACTTGGATGAAAAATATCTCCAACATAATAAATGATGTCTGTCTTTACCTCAGAACAATCTACAGATGCAGCCACCAAGAGGGTGAATGAACGCAGAGAAATGCTTCAGCGCTATAAAGAAGAGAAGGAGCTCCGAAAACTGAAAGAACAAAGAGAAAAAGCAAAAAAGGGTGTGTTTAAAGTTGGGTTATATAAACCTACTGCATGTGGATTTCTTTCACTTGCACCTGAAGTTCCCACAACAACAAAGCCAAAAGAAAAGGTAATGAGAGTAACATTCAATTTCTAAATGAGTCTTATGTAGCGTATGACATTAAAATTTATGGTTATGTAAGCTTTATGCAAGTTATGTGAAGTAAATATAGTATAAAGAATTCATAAATATTTTGTAATAAGGAATGGTAAGGGAGTAATTTCATTCTTTTTTAACAAAGCAGGAAATATAAGAGATGTGTTAATTTTTGTAGTTGTGACTATGGCCTCAGCTCAAAAAATAGTGATTCACCTGCAAATAAAAGAGCTGAGCTGTTTTGGAACTGGTAACTTGTTTGTATTCAGTCCATCTGACTTTTTCAAATCACTCACTCGATATGTTTTGACTCTCAAGTGCACAGGCTTGTTGCTTTACCTAACTTAGGCTTCTTGCTCACTCTGGCAGTGATGGCAGGGAGAGAAAGGAGTTATGTTAACCTTGTTTCCTTGGGAATGTTTCCAGGCAGCTCCTGCTTTCTCTGAGAGGATTACTCGATCAAAGGCCAAGAACCAAACAGAAAAGGCTGCGATATCAACTGCATTGAAGCCCTCTACGGTTTGTCCCTTAAATGAACTTTAGTGAATTAATTGGGAGAAAAAGATGCTATTATCCTTGAGCATGTAAATCAGGGTTGTATTCTGATGTGAAAAATGATACCTCCAAGCAGGTTTTCCTGATGAAAAGGGCAGATTAGGTCAGAAAAGCTTTCAGCAAGCTGATAGAATTTATTGTGGTGATTTGAGCGTTGTGTTGAACTGAGCTACAGAGTTTGATTGAGTCAATACAGAGAAAAGTGCAATGATCTTTCAGATTTCTTTTTCCCTGTGAAATATTATTGCAGTCAGCAAGGAATGCAAGTAAGAATAGAGGCAGTAATGAGACTGAAAGTAAATACTTTGGCTTGGAGAACCTGTGAAGCTCTCCTGGCCGCAGAAAGTCTTTTGTGAATGCAGACTATGAAGTCAGTTCTTCTTCTGCATTTCACTGCAGCTTCAGAAAGTTGAACCCAGCAAATGGACTGCTTGTTACACACTGTGTACGTTTTTGCTCTCACAGTGGGGAAGAGCACTTGTTCTTAAAATTCAACCTCAAAGCATTATTGTATGTTATGCCATCTTATTTAGCTACCTGTTTAATGGTGTGTGATTGAGATGTCCATCAGACCCCATACATTTGATTACATGGAGCCTGTAGTGACAGATCTGAAATCTTATTGATTTGGCATCTTAATTTCATACTGATGAAATACCTAACTTGTAGAATATTTTACCCCACATTAATGTATGTAAGACTATCACTGCCAAATGCATTATTTTCAACAAGCTGGGTATGAAGCTGTTTGATTTTGAGAATTCCCTATGCAAGAAGATCTTTGTCTTGTACTTTCCACCTATTTTGGATAATAAGTAAGTAGAACCAGTGGCTAGAAGTCCAAGAAGACGTAGCAGTTGTGCAATCTTCCATTTAATGCTGCAGCCTTCAAGCCTTATAAATGAAGATGTATGTTGTTGGAAAGCAATTACTGTAGGTATCACCCATGATTAATCTTTACTGCTAAAAGTTGGAATCAATTCACTGTTGGCATATTTTACTAGGAATCTTGATAGGCTCGTGGTTTTATTTGTATTAAAAAGTAGGTTTTCTGAGGAATGTCATCTGCAGTAATCTGCAAAAGGAGCTATAATTTGCATCTAGCAATCTTGCCTTATGTAATTTGAATGCATTTGGAAGGTTTCCAATCCTGGCTGCGTGAAGGGAGAACTGAGTTAATTCTGATCTTTTTTTTTCCTGAAAAGTGGCTTTTAGATCACACAATATGTACCAAGATGCAACAGTAATTACCATCTACTTTCAGAGTAAACTGAGTAATTTTCTTCATTCTGTTAGATAAAATCTTAATTAGTTGGTATTTTAATAACTGAAATGAGCTATTCTAGTTATCCTTAATATCACTGGCATTTTTACCTTTGTAAAACCTTTGTAAAACAAATACCTTGGTTCTAAATTACCTGCCTTTTGTTTTACTGGAGCCTAGGAGAGCAAGATGAGGAAAGAAGCTGGGCTACTTCACTTTGGCAATCCTGGTGCTTCATGAAATGTGATGTTCCTTTGTAGGTCTGTGCCAATGGGCAGAGCGTGCGCCCCACACAAGCAGCACGTAAGCAGATGAGCACAGAGAAAATGGCTGCAAAGGGCAAAGGTATGAAACTAGAACGGTCCCACATCTGGGTCTGAAAGGACATGGCTGTTATTCTTTTGAGCCAGTAGTTGTAGCACTGTGAGAGTGAGGCAAGGAATGTTTTTAGGAAACATCCCCAGTGTGTGTTGTTGGGGTTTAGGGAACAGCAGAGTTTTTAGGATGACAGTTTCTTGCAATTAGAACAAAGGCAACTGCTGAAAGACTATGGATCATGTGGCTGTAGGTATTTTATGTGCTTGTAGCTTCTGTAGACTGGGGGAGGTGGAATGCAGGATATTTAATACACTTGTGGTTACTGATGATCACTGCAGGAAAGGGAGAAGGAGGTCAATAGGCAGAATTGCATGGCTGCTAGCTGTCTGACAGCTGGAGCAATGCAGAGGTTCCTATTTACCTCTAAGGGAAATATCACACGTTGCTGCTGTTATTATAGATTAAATGACTGGAAAAAAGCAAGAGATAGCTGATAGAAGTAAAGTATGAATTTTGGTGTTACAGCTCTCCCCCAAAACAGCTAATTATGTGAGCTGTAAATATTTTGAGGGAAGTTTGATACTATGCAGTAGTTATGCTACATGAAACTTGTTGCATAACGTGACACTGAAATAGGTTTAGAAAGAATAGTCTTCTGGCAGAGCATGTGGGCATACAGCACAGGGAGCAAGAGCCCCAACTTCTGATACACACTGGTGTAACTGAGTACATGTGTGGTTGTCTGCTTCCATAGATGACAAGCACAATCTGTTGTTTTCATATTTCAAAGCAGCTCCTTCTGTATCTGTCTAGCTCTTGCACTTCCAGAGTGAAGATTCCATACATTTCTCGAGAAAACAAAACAAAATCAAACAAAACCAACCCAAGCCATCTCTGTTTAAGCGAGTAGAGAACACATTTAATAATAAATTCTTCCTGGTAGTGCTGCAGTGTCAAGGCTTCAAGTTGTTAATGCTAAGTCATGTAGAATAGTTAACACATGATATTCTGTAATTCAGTGTGAAGTTATTTTCACGTCACCCTGTAATTAAGTCAGCAAGCAGCAGATGTCTATTTAAATAAATTTCATTCATGCTTTCAGTGAATGCTGAACAGATTTCTCATCAGTGTTTGAATAACAATTAAAACATTAATTTAGATTGATCACTAGATTTGATAATGCTTTTGGGGAATGAAGACTATGCATTATGTGCTTAAACACTACCATGAAAACGTTAGGGAAGTGTCTGTTTGGGTAAATCCAACGTTATGGTTATTCAGCAAGTAATTTTTTTCCCAACTTTTCAAATAGCAATTCTGTGGGAAGCAGAGCAGCATTGTAAGAGACAAATATCATTAACAATAACCAAGTGGGCTCTAGATTTCCTGCAGATATAGAAAGGCAGAGCATGAAATCAAGAGCTGTTAAATTTTTGTGTGCATGTTAATGCTGCTGGTTTTGAAGGTAGTAAATAAAGGTACACATGGATGAAAATGATTAAGATGGCAGTGCATGAACTTGAGTCATATTTTATAAAAAAATATTTCAGGTATGATTAAAATTAAAGGATACTTTAATGTAGTTTAATAAATTCACACTTTAGAATGCTTTACTGTAATGACCAAGGCATCATTGGGTGTTACAGAGTTGCTTAAGATTCCAGCTGTGCAGATAACTACCAGTTATTCCTCCAGAAAGCTTCATCTGAAAGATAGGATGATGTCAACTCAGTGATTGCAGGAGCACTGAGGAGGGTTCCTTAAGCCTTGTGCTTAGCATCTGGCACGCTGATATGTTGCTCTTATCGTGACACTGGAAGCACTACTGTACAATGGAGATGTTTTCTGTCAAGGTTCTGCAGAGCATTGCCTTGGTGCCAAGGCTGAGCTGTGCTGCCTTTGTTTAGCACAGAAGTGACAAAACCACTCCTTGATTCTGGTTGGTAGCCCTGCCTGTGGCAGGAAGGTTGGAACTCGATGATCCTTTGGGTCCCTTCCAACCCAAGGCATTCTATGATTCTAACAAACTAATGCAACTGATAGTTACTTGTACAGCTTTCTGATTACTGCAAAACCAAAACTTTGTATTATACTACTTAAACACATCACCTGAGCAAGCTTTGTAATCTCTGGAATTAATATTTCTTAGTGTTGCAGCCTTCAGTCCAGACAGCATCAAATGTAAGAGTCACCAGAGCAGCTGCCTCTGCAGCTAGACAGGTGCCAAAAACAACTGCAGCTGCTAGTGGTAAGTGAGGCAGTAAGTATAAGCCATGTGTGGCTGGTATCTAAGGATTTCATATGGTGTACAGAGGTGTCCTGGCTGATGCTGTGTGCGTGAGTACTGGAAACGATGTGTGAATTTGCACTGCTGTTAAGATCACTGTCAAGTCATACACCAGGACAGTGTTGTCTTTAGGGTCTTGTTTATCCCAGTCACTCTGCTCTAGAGATACATATCAGCTTGTTCTGAACTGGCTTAGCACACTGCATTCTGCTTTGTAGTATCTCTTTGGAATAGATAGACCAAAGCAAACGTGCTAAATTGTCACATAAGAAAATGAGCAAATACCCATGACTTAAAATTTCACCTGGACCTCTGTTGGAATATTTAAATAATGATGTTGAAACCAACGTTGGGCAGTTTGCTGTAAAAATCCATCTGTGTGGGCTGTCAATATCAATATAATAATTACAGATTGAAAGAACAAAAACTGGACTGGTAAAGATTTGCCAGTTTGGTGCATTACTGCTTCAGGATTGATAAGACTCATAAAGAATAGCTATGTCTGGACAAGATGGGAGCCCATATTCTCCAACTCAGGAATTTTTGCTTCATGTTTGCTTACTCAAGTAGGGGAATCTGATGGTTTAATGAAGGGGATATTTTTAGTAGTATGATCTTGTCCTCATGATAGTAATGGTTTTGATCCATCTGTAGAAGTCCTGTGCCATGCATAAAGTCACAATCTAAACTCATTTGACTTCAGTCACTTCAGCCTTTAAGGAAATGAGGTGACTCTTTTGAACGCCTGACGATGTGTGAAGGCTAATGGCTTAATGAATCTCTTTTCCCAGTGATTTATCTCTTATTAGGCTGTTAAATCCTAGGCCAGGTTTTCTTTTGAATGAACACTTGCAATTAGGTATCTGCCCTTTAGCTCCCTCCCACTCAAGAAGCAAAGCCATCTCTCCCTGTCTTTAACCACCAGACTTTTGCATCAATCTTTTGAAAATGCTGGTGAATGATTCTTTTAATCAGATGTGTTTTGATTTGGAGTTTGTTCCTCTTCAGGTAACGTGTCACAGAGAAAGCCAGCAAATGCAGCAAAGCAGAAGAAAGCAGTCAAACCTGATGTCATAGAGGTAGGTCACGAAATATTTGAAATGGAAAAGCTGATTTAAGAGCCAGTAAAAATAGTAGTGCACGTGTTTCTTAAATATAGTTGTACTCGTGTGTCAAAGTAACAGGAAGCTCACTAATAGATTTTGGGACAAAACTGTACTTATGTTGTACTATTAAGACCTAAGACTAAATTTGCTTTGCAGGTGTGGATGACTTGTTTACCAGTCCTCCAGCTTTGGACAGTGATTTAAACTTGAGGTCTTGCATGACAAATCTTTTACGTGATGTTTCCACTACTTAACAAAAAAAAAAGACCTTTTTCATTTTTCTGGTTGTATCGAATGTTTGTAAACTTCATACGGTGCGTTTATTCCTGCAGCTTACTTTGAATGCATCCCTTCAGTGATCAGGGAATTATAATGTGAGGCTTTAGAATCTGAGGATGAAATGCATGTTGAGTTTTTGAATGCCGAGAACATGGCGAATATCATAGGGGAAAAGATTCCCAGCTATAATTAAAGATGGTCACTTTTGTTATCCCACTGAAAATGCAGACCAAACTTTACTGCTTCTGTGTAGAGGCCACTGTATTTGAATGCAGTGTGTCCTCCAGTTCAGGTTCCTAAATGATTCACGTATGCTTTCGTGCCCTGACAGTCCTGTGCAGAAGCATGTTTCCTTCCCTCTCCCTACACTCCACTCTTCCCTCTCACTTAGTTCTTCCCTCTCACTTAGTTCTTCCCTCTCACTTAGTGCTTCCCCCACAACTCCCTTCTCCAGTTCTATTTCAGCAGCTGCAGCTGTGTACAAGCGAAGTTCTTCAAGCTGGTTTCTTTGTGCACAAACACTGACAGGAGGTAAAAGGCACTTGTATCTTAATTCAGATAAGGATCTTTTCACAGCAGGAGTTGCTGCCAGGTGGTAAGCCCTTGCTGTAACCGTAGTCATATTGCCACAAGAAATCTGTTAAAATTCAAAGCTTACATTCCAAGCAAGGGTATCTAAAGTACAACAAAACTTCCAGTGTCTTGAAGATACATCTTTGCTCAAGAAATAGTCTCAGATCTTTTGGCTAATTTGAGCTAACAGTATCTCAGTACAGGTACCTCAGAAACGTTCTGAGCAATTGCCTTGTTGCTCATCTCTTAGGAATGTGAACTTCCTTCTCTTTCAACAACATTCTCTGCTTTTAATTGCACTTGTACTCTCCTTTTCTTGGGCTGCATTCCTCAACTATCACAGAATCACAGAATGGCCAAGGTTGGAAGGGACCTCAAGGATCATGAATCTCTAACACCCCTGCCACATACAGGGCCACCAACCTCCACGTTTAATGCTAAACCAGGCTGCCCAGGGCCCCATCCAACCTGGCCTTGAACACCTCCAAGGACAGGGCATTCACAACCTCTCTGGGCAGCTGTTCCAGTACCTCACTACTCTCTGGGTAAAGAATTTATCAACTTTTGTTAGTTTGTTCTTCAGCCTTTAAGTTAGGTTGTGTGTATAAACGGATTATTCCACAGGCCTAGTTGGATTTGGAGCCAGTATGCTACTCAGCTCTTGAGGAGCTCATCACCTTCAAGCATTTTCTTCTAACAGTGAGAGAAGCATCTGCTGGTTTGAATTACTGCTCCACTAGGCCAGGTGTTCTGCTGCTCTGGCCCCTTCAGTGGATTATTACGTTCCTCGTAGTCAATTGCTTCTCCTGCTGTGAGAATGATTTGCAGGTGTCAAAAGCTAGTTGGCCTATGGTAAATCAAGACTTCTGTACATGCACACAGTTGTAGAAAGCAAATTACCTGAAATTGTTCCTTTTTTGTTGGCTTTCAAGCAGTCATCTTACAATTCTGCTAACATCTGTTAGTAAACACTTTGTGATTTGGTAATATGGTGCTTCTTTTGTTCGTGCAGATAATTCCTATTAAACACGAAGTGAACGAAAACGCTCCACTGGACCCAGTGATTTGTTCAGCATCAGAACTTAAACAGGAACAGACATCTGTAGAAAAGAACAACTCTGCTCCTGGAAGACCCAGAACGCGCTCCTTTGCACCACAGAATTTTGTGTTTCAGCCCTTAGAAGGACTAACAGCCTACAAAGTTACACCCATGACTCCATCTAGAGCAAATGCATTTTTGTCACCTGATGCCTTCTGGGATTTCTCCAAATCTCCAGTGTAAGGTTCTTGCTTCTAATAACCTAAAATGCAATGCAGCTTTTGTGATGCTACAGAGGAAGTGGTGTTTCTGTAGTGAGATTCCATGTGTAGCAAGTTGTTGATACACCTGATCACAGTTGTTGTGTGAACCAAAAATAGTCTTCAGAATTTTGAGGTCTTGTGTGTTTGGTCATATTTGAGGTCAGTTTCTCAACATTTCTTAATTCTTAAGCTTATCTTTTTTTCTTTTTTTTCCCTTAGTAATACAGTTGAAAAATCCAGTGAAACTAAGGTACAGGAGCCTAATTTAAGAAGTCAGATTTCACCTTCTCTTCAAGGCATTCAAGAACAGCAAGTGACTACAAGTTTGCAAGGAGAAGGTATCAAGTTCACGTATGGTTTATCACTGTACCTTTTCTAGTTTTTACCAGATTCTGAGTAAATGCCTTCCATATTTCTCAGGAAATGAATCAGATAAGGAGGCTTCCATTCAGAGATCCAACGAAACAATTCCTGTATCTACAGAAATGGCAGTGACTGAAACAAAGTCGGATGATATAAGAGAGCAAGAGCATGATGTGCCCTATTTCAGGTTTGTGTCTGTTTGTTTGCCTTCCTGGTTGTCTGTTCTGGGTCCTGAACGAGTAACAACTTGCAAGCAGTAGCTTATGATGGTTGATGTCTGTCAGCAGCAATTTTGGTGGTCATCATTGCTGTCTTTCCTTTCCTATTGTTAGTGCAAGTAAAGAATATAAAATTCTGAAGACTAATGCTCCATCCTGTGTACATAAAGCTTGAAAGTAATATAAATTACCTTACAGCTAGTCTTAACTGAAGCAATCTAATGGGTTCTGCTCAAAGACTGTGTAACTTGTCTGAAAGCAAAAGGGGAATAATAATTAACAGTTACAAATAGTGACAACAGTTGGAACATCCTCAAATTACTTTTCTCATTATTTTAAGAAACATTCTACAATCTGAGACAGAAAGACTGATGTCTCAGTGCCTTCAGTGGGATGGAAAACTTGAGCTGGACATTCCAGAGGATGGTAAGACTGAGCTGTGATAGGCACAATTAGTAATAGTAGGCTCATCTCCTAATGTTACTTCTTAAGTGTGATGTTTGAAGTGACAGTAGTGAATGCTGAGCTGCTGGTAGTTAATGTTAAAGTGCCTCTTGCTTTTCTGTAAAGTCTAAGTATGTCTGAATGCATGAGATTTAAGAAATATATATAAATGTTTTAACTTGCCTGTGCTTTTTTATTTCAAAGACTTGCAGAATTGGTAGCAATTTTATTTTTAGTTTGTTTCAAAGGAAGGTTAGAGGATTTCAGTGGAGAGATGGGCTGCAGGTGAACTGCATTGCAGGTCTGACCTTAAAGAGCAAGCAGAATCCAAACTCTTCAGTTACTTATTTATATCAGTTGAGGAATGATGGCTTATTCCAGTATATTCTAAATATATTCTAATTTCTTCTCTTGGTTTCTTGTTACCATCAGCTAAAGATCTCATCCGCACAGCAGTTGGTCAGACAAGACTGCTTGTAGCAGAAAGGTTTAAACAGTTTGAAGGACTGGTGGATAACTGTGAATTTAAGCAGGGTGAAAAGGAAACGATGTGTACAGACTTGGATGGATTTTGGGATATGATTAATTTTCAGGTATGTCCTTGCAGGTTTACCTACTGTAACAAATGCACAAGATGGAGGTACTTACAAACAATGCAGTGAATCTATTTTATTCATTTGAATATTCAGACTCAGATATTTTTTCCTGTTAAAAATATGCGTCCTTGCTTAACGTTTTGTAACAGTGAATAGCACCAGCTGGTATGCTGTGGTTTTACACTTCATGGACCAGTTAAGCAATCTTTTGTAGAACCAGTTACTGGAAAAAGATGTCTTTCTTAGGCTTGCTGTATCTCTGGGGGCAGTTCAGGTTTCTTCTGGTCATCTGCTGGTTTACACAGAATCACAGAATTGTAGGGCTTGGGGGGGACCTCTAGAGGTCATGGAGTCCAACACCATTGCAAAGCTTTTGCTTTGGTGTTTGAAGCAGAAGTATTTAACAAATATAAGCATGGCTGTTCATTTCATCTAACTTCCTAAACCAGTGGTTTTTTGTGTGTATGAATCTTGTAAATCTTGTAAATTAAAGTTGGACTTCTCTGGGATTTCCAATAGATTGAAGATGTGAATAAGAAATTTGATAATCTGCAGAAGCTTCAAGATAACAAATGGCAACCAATTGCTGTGCCAGGCAAAGAAGCTGTCAAGGTACGTATGGCTCCTAAAGCATTCAGATACAACGATGTACTGAGATATTTAAAATAATTGGTAAGCTATTGGAGTACTGAATACTTAAATGAAAGTTCCTTTTAATGCCCTGCTTATAGATGTTGGTGATGATCAAAAAGTCCAGCGAAATTCTTCTCAAATTTCACCTTCCTTCCTTGAATCTTGCATGTGTGCTCAGAATTGGTGCTTTTGGTACTAGCTGCTCCTTTCTGTTGGGAAGATTAGAGCTGAGAATTAGCAATGGCTCATGGAGTCCTCGAACTCTTTGTTAGTAAGGCAAATGAGTTAAATTTGGAACAGAAATTTATCCTTTGGATGTGAAACATTTTCTCTGAGCTACCAGTGTTGGCAATGATGTGTCACAGGAATTTAGAAGTGCCTGGCAGTTTGAAGCAGTGAGTGCTAAGTGATAAAGGTGACTTATTAAGGTAGGACCATGGGCAGCTAATCCTCTGAGCATTAATAGGTCTGACACTGCCCCAAATGTGGGATTGATTATTGCAAAATAGGCTTTAATGTAGGTTATTTTATTGACATTTTGGTCTGGAATATAGAATCCTAGAATGGCCTGGGTTGCAAAGGAGCACAGTGCTCATCCAGCTCCAACCCCTGCTGTGTGCAGGTCACCAACCAGCAGCCCAGGCTGCCCAGAGCCACATCCAGCCTGGCCTTGAATGCCTGCAGGGATGGGGCATCCACAGCCTCCTTGGGCAACCTGTGCCAGTGCCTCACCACCCTCTGGCTGAAGAAAAACTTCCTGCTCATATCCAACCCAAACCTCCCCTGTCTCAGTTTAAAGCCATTCCCCCTTGTCCTATCACCATCCACCCTCATAAACAGCCATTCCCCTCCTGTTTATCTGCTCCCTTCAAGTACTGGAGGGGCACAATGAGATCTCCCTGGAGCCTTCTCTTCTCCAAGCAATATGTAGCTGTTCTTAATCACTCAGCATTAATCAGCATTAAGAATCATATTCACATTGCCTGAACTCCATGCTATTCCTCAAGACTGCTCAACTGATCATAACAATGATGTGAAGATCAATAAGAAACTCCAAACATGGAACTGGTGGAAGTGTAGTCTTACATCAGCTGACCATAAATGTCTCAACTGTAGTTACTGTACACGACACAAAACTTCCTTTGAAATATGAATGCCAGGAGAGACTTCACTGCTTAACGAGTGTCTGCCCATGAGTTACTTTATGTCCGTGCCACTAGGAGTCCCTGCACCCCACTCTTTTCAAAAATGTTAACTACAGCAGGTAGAGAAAGAAAATTTATACCAAGTATTTGTGAGCTGAGAACTTGGTGTGAGAAACTGACTTAAGACTGCCATTGTAAATGAACCTTGGCAGGATAAATAGCAGACCAAGACTTTCTGGAGATAAGCAGAGATCTTGTCTCTAGCAGAGGCCTGCTGCTGTCTGTGTCCAGCAGCCTCCTGGACGTTCACGTGCAGCTATTTGCCTGAAGCTTCTATTTTCTTTCTGTTTCAGAAGCAGACTGTTCCAAATATGGTCTGTAAACCAAAGCTGGGGGCAGCTGGAAGGACTGCTGCCCGAAAGAGGCTTGCTGCTGTGAAAGCTGCTATGAGGGATAAAATGAAGCAGGATGGAGTTGCTGATAGTGCGTATCAGGATAAGCAACCAGAAGTAGAAAAAGTGGTTTTTGAAGCAGGATTTTTCAGAATTGAAAGCCCTGTAAAAAGCTTTCCAGGTGGGTGAAGCTTAATCATTATTTCTCTGACCTGAAAATGCTGAAGAGATTTGAACCAAGCTCACTGCAGACAGATTATGCTGTTTATACTGGATATAACTCCAGTGCTAGGCACAATTAATGTTTCATCTAGTGATTTGTTACATCAGGGAACCAAAGTAAACTGTTCTGCCTGATTGCCATAATTGCTCAAATCAGCATGATGTGAAATCTTTACCTTGGTACAGAGTTACAAGCAGTTGGACCCATTTTTTTTCTTAACATACATTTAGCAATGAAATTTTAATCTGGGCATTCCTAGACTTAGCAGGCAACACGTTCAGAGTGAGTGCAGGCTGATGGCTTTTATTTGTAAGATAGGAATTGGAATTAGTGTGAACTAAATTTTGCTGGCTTCCAGCTTGCAAATACAGCACATCTGTAATCAGAATTCATGTGCAACAAGATTGCAGTATATTCCAATCTGCTAGGAAAGCTGCTGGAAGCTTTTCTTGAGCAGAAGCTCCAAACAAGGCTGTAATTTGGGCATTTATCTTATTGCAATCTGTGAAGCTCGTGCTTTCTGTGATCCTGGTTTGACAGCTGCGCTTTCTCTCCCTTATTTCAAGTGCCAAAGATGATTCTGAGTTTCCAAAGATTCTCTCAATGAGTGTTTTAAAAATCAATTAGGAATTTATCTTTAATTCTATCAAAATTATATAATATGAGATATTGTGTTTCATGACAACAGCTTCCACCGCGTAGATTTAATGAGAACAGCAAATCTCATTGTTTCAGGTTCTGTGTGAAGAGTAGTAGTGCTAAATTGCTTAGCTGGTGTTAAGGTAGCTTTGTAACTTATTGCTGTGGTTGCCACCACATCATTTTTTCAGTTTCTGCTTGCAGTGTACAGAGCAAATATAATATTTATGTAAAACACACAAGAAAAAGTAGAGTGTTACTAGCTAGAATCCTAACCATTCCATCCTCTGGAAATTGCTGTTGTAACTAAGCTTTAAATGCTCTTTTTCAGGTTCACTTTCAAAGACACCTCGCAGATCAGGGCAGCAGACTTGGGAAGGTCTGACAGCTCCAAGATCATCCAGAAGAGCTTTGCTGCAGGGCAGCTCTGTGCCTTGTAACCCTGAGGATACAACTGCAAAACAAACTACACCACTGCTCAAAGGCTGCCACCCAGCACAGAGTTTGGAAGTGCACCCATGTCCCACTGAAACAACTCTCCCTGGTGGTTTTCTTGAACAAAGGTAGCCACGTTCAGGCAGCTGTTAATTGAGCTTTGTGCAACTAATTGTCCAGTTTCAATTAGAAGAATTAATGTCCATTAAGTGTTAACCTTCTTTCAGTGGGGGAGGGACAAAGGTTGTGAAGTCGTTCTGTCTTTTCCATCCCTCAAGCAGACGTTAAGAGCTCTGCCCAAATGTCACCTCATTGCAGGCTAGGAGTTTGGGATTTTTTTGTCCAGAAAACTTTATATAGCTGACTTGTGCCAAACCAGCAAACACAGTTGGAGAGCTCATTTCAAATCAGTTGTGCACGTCACAATCTTTTGATTGAGAAGAATTAAAAGATTGTTGTTTCTCTTTCAGCATTTCCCCAGCTGCAGAAGAACACAATCCTGTTGCTGGCGCAGCAGAAGGCACCTGGGTAAGTCATGCTTAGTTCATGTATGTCCTTTAAACATCTTTCTACTATTAGCTGAAGGCAAAGAGTGACAGATATTCACATCTTAAGTGGGTAGGCACCTTGATTCATCATGCTTGAGTGCAGAACAGTGATTTGATGCTTCAAATCTACCTATTGCAGCAGCTCTCATTGCCTGAGGAAATTCAGCGCTGTGTTCAAAGCTTTTCCACTTGCTTCTTTCTTGCCCTGTCCCACTCAGGATAAGGGTGCCCAAACCTGATCTGCTGGTTTCACAGTTGGTTTTTATTAGCCCTGGGTACCTGGGTATCTGATCAAACATTCAAAGTACCTTTGGTGTTCCTCAGGATGAGGCTTTTTCCTGTTCTGTAGGACACAGATTAGGACTGCTGCAGCTTTCTTGCATTCTCTCTATTTTTGGAGCTATTCTTTTGGAGCTCTTGTTGGCTCTGCTGTATGATGCTCATCACTTGTCCCAGCACTGCTCCTTCAAGCCCCCTCCTGTTTTTCTGGTGTGAATTTTTAAATGGATTTGCATTTAGGGGGCTGAGCCTGAAAGGAATAATAGTCTCTAGCTCTCTGGGTCTCTGTTGCCACATCAAAGCACGAGGCTGTTAAACTGTTCAAAGGTGCAGCAAGAGCATAGTTGGTAACACAGGCATCAGAGTTTGGGAATCTGAGTCCTGATGTGTCTGTGGGCTTGGTGACATGCCAGCTTCTGAGTAGCCATTAAAGTCCAGAATGCAGCCTCCACAGTAGTTCCTTTCATTGGGAATCTAGGGTCTTCATGTTTGTTACTACTTGGATCTGTACATTGCTGCAGCAGTCTTTATATATACATACATGTGCACGTGTAATGCTTGTGTTTTAAAGTCTGTTACTGTTTGCTCCTCTTCTTTTTTTCTGCTGTTTTTACAAGTCACATGAGGAATTGGTGATGCTACTATCTGGGGAATCTGGCAATCTAGCATTTGGTATTGCTGGTGGTATTTTTCTGAGGTAAAGTCTCACAAGAGAACAACCTCAGAATGCTTTCTGTCACTTTAAGTTCAAAATCCATTTGTGGAGGAATTTCCTTATATACTCTTTAAAAGATAATCCCATTTACGAGGGTGCTTGGCAAACAGTTCACGGGAAATAAATCGCAGTGTTAAGCTCACAGCTTTGCTTTTCCTGACCTTTGTACAAGCTCAAGTTCAAAAGCTCTCTATCCTAAATTGCCAGTGAGACCTGTAGATGTCATGTATGAATTGTTTAGCACAATACATATGTGTTGGTTTTTGTAAACTCGCTTCCCTTGAATGTCCTGGCCACCTCTTCTCCTTTGTGCTTGCTGCATCAAAGCTACCAAGGTGCCTTTTACAACAGACAAAATAGAAAAGGAAGCTTCCTGGTGTCATTCAAACTGCTTTATGTCCTGATTGCACTGATGTTTTGCTTCTGGCTCTCTGGAAAGCAAACACAGCTGACATCTGAGCTCTACAGAGGGTTGGGAACAGTTAAAATTCCTATTTTTTCAGGTGCTGGGAAACTGTAGCAGTGAATTAAAAGCAGTGGATGACATGGAAGAGATGGAATTGTCTGCTCCAGAGCAACAGGGCCAAGATCCCACCATGTGCAGCCCAGAGAAGGGTACGTGCACTGGGTTCAGCTTCACTCAGCCTGGAGAACCAAAAATGCTTCAGATGGGTACACATCTTCAAGCTATTGCAGTCTGTGGTATTGCTGGGTTCTTATGTTTGTTCTACAGACTTTATAGTCTAAATATTACTCTTTGAAATCACTGCTGTTGTAGCTTTGTGAGTCTGTGCGTGCTTGTAGCAAAACCTGTGTTTGTTAGCATGACTTATCTGTGCTCTGCATGTGAACAAACAGTTCCCATGGCTTTTCTATGTAGTTGCCCTGTGGTACATGAAGCAGAAAGCTGCTAGAAGAGGCTTGCAGTAGAAATAGTTGCCAGCTGATCTGTTTTGCTTCAGTAAATGCAGGAAACAATACTGTTTTTTCAGCCTTAGCAATATCAGGTTAACCCTCAGAAGAAAATAACAAAGTGTTCTTATTTTTCAGACATTTTCTTGAGAGATTTGGCTTCCATTGACAGAAATCCTTCAGATACAGTAAGTTGACCTTTCAGTTTATTTGGCTACAGTCTGCTTGTTAACAATACCATTAACCTTTTCTGCAGAATCAGTTTCTACATGAAGTAAATTAAGCTCTGGAGGGTGATGTTATCAAACCAAAGCACACAACTTACTCTAATAAATGCAGGCCACAATTCCTGTCCCCTTGTCCTGGCTCACACTCATTCCTTGTTGCACACATAAAACAGGACAAATTGAGACTTGTAACAGAAGAATGACTGATCTCTTTAGGCTGATCACTAAAATGACTTTTCTTGTGGATTTCCTTGTAGATATTTACTAACATAATGAACCACCTGACCTCTTCCTTCCACTTACTTGTAGTTTTCCAGCTCTGTTCCTTCCCATCTCCATAGTTTTATCTTCTGCAGACAGAAGCAAGGTGCAGCAAGGAAAAACAGACGTACAAAAGCTTTCAAGCAGCTAAAAGAACTTGGTTGTACAGCTTTCTTGCTCTCAAATAGGAAAAAAAATCCTCTTTAACTTATAGATTACTGCATTAAGTAATGACTGCCTTCATAAAGGACCACCTACTGGTTCCTTATTTTCTGCCTAGAAATAAGCTTGCAGGATTCCTTAGGAAGGCCGTGGAACTTGAAGTGGTGAATGACTTCTTCAAATCAACATGCACAGCTCCAAGCACCACATAAAGACAAGGATGTGAGCATTTCTGCATCCACCAAACTGCTGTGCATTTCAGGAAGGGTTTCAGATTTCCCTGGCAGGTCTTTGCTGTGCATGTAGTGAAGCTGCAGTGTGCCCATAGGGGATTTGCCATTAGCTTGTTTTGTGTGCCCTGGCAGTGCTGGTTTGTAGAGCAGACACCAGTTGCTTTTGAGTGCTTATTTCCCACTGATTTCTCCCATAGCCCATGCTGGATGCTGAGCTTCCCTTCACTCCACTCAAGAACAACCTCCAGAAGTTCACAGCAGCTGAAACGTTCAGTGACCTGATTGTATTTTCTCCTCTTTCTCCCTCTGGAGAAAAATGAATGACTGGAAATTTGAAATGAGTAAATTCTATTCAGTAGAAAACAGAAGCTGCCTGGAACACCATCTGCAACCCCTGGGCTGTGTTCTTTGTGACACCTGTGGTATTTTCGAGTGGAACTTGGTAGAAAACTTGGTAACACATCTGCTGTGAGCAGTGGTGCAGTCACTGCACTGTGCATATTGCTGTGCAGTTTGCTGGCTTTACCTCCTGCATCCAATGAAATATTCTGAAATATTCTTATTTGTTTATAATTTCATGTATTTGTTGTCTCCTTCGAGTTATAAAACTGTCCACCTTAAATCTCTCCTGTCTTGACCTTAATTACTTTGTGAGTTGTTTTTATGAGAGATTGGATATGGGTTGTGTAACAGACATGTTCCATTAGCTGCTTCTATCTCCATTTGTGATGAGGGCACCTCCAGAAGTGCCTGTTATCTACCCCAAAGCACTGTTTTGTATTCAGTGCTGTTGCAGCCTTTAGCTCCAGTACTCTGTGCATTAACTGCACCTAATCAGCAGATGGGATGAGGTTAGATTCTTTCCTTTCCTGTGGGATTTTTCCTATTGCCTAACAATCACTTGCTTGAATTTCTGCTGTTACGAAGCATCTCAAAACCAGATAATATCTATTCCTTACACTGTGTTAATAGGGATGGATTTTTGAAGATGCTCAGTGCTGAGCTGTGTCATTAAGTACCTTCAAGCTAAATTCCATTTTCTTTTTCATCTGGCAGTCCCTTAACCAGTCTCCTTGAACATTTGGCTGTTAACCTCAGCTTCCCCTCGCATCTTTCTCTCATCTGGACTAATCTATTTAAGCACAAGGAGTGTGCCAGTTCCTGCTACTCCAACATGGAGTTTATATGTAGTAGAGTACCTCCAGTTCTTATATTTTTAAGAGGTGCCTGATCAGCCTGCTTCTTGTGATGCTGTTCTTTGTGTGCTGCACACATTCTTCCACTGGCCTTTATTGTCAGCTAAGCAAATGCCACACAAACCCTTCAGCAGAAGGCATTGATGTTACATGTGGGGCCTTGTTGTTTGACTGCAGTTCTGACTTAGAAGTTGTGTACTGATAGCACTGAAATAAATGGAGGAAGCTGACCTGACCCAGGTTAATGTGCTGGAATGAACTTTTGGTTTTATAGATAGCTTCAAAAAGATAAAAGGCAAGTCAGTAAGAGCTCTTCACAGAATGGCTTGGGTTGGAAGGGACCTCAAGGATCACGAAGCTCCAACCCCCCACCAATGCAGGGCCACCAACCTCCCCATTTCACAGCAGCCCAGGCTGCCCAGGGCCCCATCCAACCTGGCCTTCAACACCTCCAGGGATGGACGGGGCATCACAGCCTCTCTGGGCAGCTGTTCCAGCACCTCACCACTCTCACAGCACACAACTTCCCCCTGACATCCAACCTCCATCTGCCCTCCCTCAACTTCAAGCCGTTTCCCCTTGTCCTGCTGTTATCCACCCTTTCAAAGAGTTGCCCCCTCTTTATAGGCTCCCTTTAGGTACTGAAGGCCATACCTCTTCTCAGTGTTCAGAGCTGCAATGAACAGTGGTAACAGTGGCTCTACTAGAGATGTGCTGGTCCTAGGCAAGAACTTTGAATACTGGGGTTGTTGTTTGGCAACTCCATGGATAAATGAAACAACTGTTACAAAAGGGTATGGGATGTGTTGGAGAGATCCTAAACAACTCCAGTAGTGGCTCTTATGTTGTTCTGCAGACAAGACTGGAAGAATGTTCCCTCTTCTGTGAGTCATACTTGATTTACCAGCATGACTCATGTGCTGAGCTTGCCAGTAAACCTCCACCCCACCCTTGAAACTGCTCTTGGCTGATGGGGAAGTGCTGAGGTGGGAGAAGCACCACAGGGCTCGTGCTCTGTGTGATGGGGATGCAATGCATGTAAGGAGTGCGTCTCCCTCGGCTTGGAAGTGTGACAAGGATATGCAGATTTAGGCCACTCTAAGCAGCTGTGCAGGCAAAACAAGTCTGAAATGGAGAAGGGGGGCAGTTTTGCTTCCTCCAGCCTTAACTCTGAGCCCCCTCCTGAAATGCAGTGTCTGATCCTGACCAGAACACTCTTGAGCTTTCAGTGTTCTCTGGTGTTGCTTAGTTGCTTAGGTCACTGAAGTGGCACTTTGTCACTTATGCACAAACCTTCCCAGCCTGGCCATGCAATTCCTATTCTTGTGTTTCCCCTTTAGAGAGAACCAAAGCACCACTTTGCAGCACTACTTTGATACAAAAAGGAATGACTGCTCTACTAGCAGAGGAACTGAGGCTAAAACATTGATCAGTTATCTGGGACTTCCAGCAGTAATCTTCAGCCCTATCTTAACTCATTCACAGGACAACTGCCTGTAGGCTACATACAGCTTTCCCACATATTCTTCTTGCAAATCAGAAATGACTCATAGTCATTATCCTCTGGCCGAGGTTCAAATTCTAAAGCAAGAATTCGGCTTCTTCCACATCCAAATACAGCTTGCATCTTAACCAAAACCAAATTTTACTTGTGAAAATGCTTTATTGCTTCAAAATAATCAGACAGGAAGGCACTCCTGTTACAATTCTCTGAAGAGTGCTAGACTTGTGTTCAAGGTACAGCTTGCTAATTAAATCATGGAGGTCAAAACGCTGGTGAGAGTGATGTCCCCAGCAATGCAGAGCTTGGTGATCTCATTCAGCTTCTTCTCACGGAAGCTGTACTGCAGCAGGTGAGCATCGTTCACTGCTACCTTGAAGTGATCCCCCTCACAGAGCACCTGGAGCTGAAAGAGAAATGCAAAGTGAGCCAAATTGGAACCATCAGCTGCAGGAACACCGGTGACCTTTGCCTTCCCCAGAGCCCTGCTGTGCTCATCTTCCTTGATGATTCAGCTGCAGTGTCTGCCCCATGACTACGCCTTTCAAGCAGCATGAAATGCAGGGAGGGCAGAGTGCACCCGTTTGTTTTGCAGGAGAAACAGACTGGGGAGAGAGCTGGACTGCACTGCAGGTTTTAGGAGGAAGTTTTTCCCCCAGAGGGTGGTGAGGCACTGGCACAGGTTGCCCAAGGAGGCTGTGGATGCCCCATCCCTGCAGGCATTCAAGGCCAGGCTGGATGTGGCTCTGGGCAGCCTGGGCTGCTGGTTGGTGACCTGCACACAGCAGGGTTTGGAACTGGATGAGCACTGTGCTCCTGTGCAACCCAGGCCATGCTGTGATTCTGTGCAGAAGGATGCCTTACAGCAACCTGCCCAATAGCTGCTGCACAATGACAGCACCAGTAGGGAGAATGCAATAAGAAATGGGAATAACAGAATTTTTTTTAATTTCTTTTCTCTGTTGTTACCTTGAAGGGGGCTCCAGGTTCAAATGGAAATCTAGGAGCTGTTCTCTCCTCTTTTCCCCAGCTATTGTGGAACATTGAATTACAGACGATGACCCTTTTGTGATCTTCATTGAAACGGGGGTTAAAGTGGAAGGCAATGTCTTGCCCCCTCTTGAAATCCAGTGAAAACCTGCAAAGGCAATAATCAGTGAGCTGCTTTTTCTGCAGAAGACACGAGCTGTCTCCCAGGGCTGCTGGAAAGCAGCTGGAAAGCAGCAGCAAGCGGACATAAATGCACAGGGCCTGCTAGGTAACGACAGGGCAGGTGTGGAGGATTTGCACGGTCGTTTTGAGTCACGATTTCACAGAAGGTGGGTGCTATTCAGAAAATGAACTCTGCCCCTTAACGCTGTCGCAACCCATCCATACCTGGTGGGGTTTGGGTTCACGGTCCCCGTGATGGTTATGAGCATGCGAGGCATGAGTCCTGCTGGTAGGGGCAGATCGTAGGGGACTTTCTGGAGAGGACAGAGATTTTGGTGTTAGCAGAACAGCATGTTGGCGAGCAGCACAGGCCTGACGGTCAGGCAAGGGCTGGGTGTTGGTGTGACTGTGTGGCTGCTCATGCAACTCCTAAGGACGCGCAGCCCCAGGTCCCTCCCACAGCCGAGCACAACGAGCAAAAGCTTTCAAATATGTCTGAGCTGTTACCAGTGGAGCAGCTGGAGCTCCGGAGAATGGTGCAGCCGGTCCTCCAGGATAGGGTCCTGCTGCTGCCGGTCCTCCAGGATAATGCCCTGCTGGTCCTCCAGGATAATGCCCTGGTGGTCCTCCAGGGAATGGTCCGGGCGGTCCATGATGCGGTCTAGGTCCCCCAGGGTATCCAGGGTACGCCGGGTAGGCCCCAGGACCTGGGGGCCGGTTCCAGCCCTGGGTTGGGGGGGCACCAGGGTTGTGAGTAGGCAGGGCGTCAGAGAGCTGGGGATGGAGGGGAGAGTAGGAAGAGAAAGACAGACAGCATCCAGTAGGGCTGCCAGCACCTGGCCTTCATGGCCTGCGCGATGCTGAGCGCTGCGTCTGGAACGGCCAGGAGCCCCAGTGGTGCTGAGAACCCAAAAGTCCCTTAATGCTCCTTGATTGGAGTTACACGGATTGGTAACGACGCGGAATCACAGAATCACAAAATCATTAAGGTTGGAAAAGACTTCAGAATCACCATTCTCACTGCCCACGTCCCTCACAACGGTTCCTAAACGCCTCCAGGGATGATTTCCTCACCGCTCCCTGGGCAGCTGTGCCAAGTCCCACCACAAGCCCCCACCTTCACGCAATGACCACCACGGGGCCCCTGCGTGTTTGTTCAAGAAATCAATACTCACAGAGAAACCGTCCGACATTTTTCCTACAACAAAAAGACAGAGGAGATCGTGAGGTCGTTTTGTGGCCCTCCCAGGTGACACGGCTCTTTGTGGGTCACCACCTCCATCATAACCGCTGCCGGGCCGAGAGGTGCCACAGAATCCCAAACCCAAAGGCCCGGCCTGCAGCTGGGATGGGATGGGAGAGGAGGGGTCCTACAGGGGGACCCCCTGTGCTGTTCCTATGGGAGACGTGTGGTCTGCAGTGGGGTTTGCAGCCACCCCAAAAGGCGAAGCTGCGCCATGCAGGAATGCTGCGGCCTGGGGCTGAGTTCCTGCTATCAAAGAGTGCATTCATAAACCAAGAGAGGAGAAAAAAAACCAAACAAACAAACAGGGAGAGGCAGAAATGGGAGGGAAAAAGGAAAATTCCAAAGGGAAAGCGGAGAAGTCTAATTCTCTTCAAAAGAAACACTGAGCAACACAAAGGTCTGAGAGAACCTGCTTCAGCAATAAGGAAATCATGCTGAGTTTCCTCAGCACCAAACCCTTCCCCCAGCAAAAGGCAGCGCAGAGCCTGCGTGACTTCCAAGCAGTCCTGCAGGCACCGGCCAGGAGCAATGACTTTCAGCTGCCCCAACCTGGCAGTGCAGATATTTGCTTTCTGCTTTTTCCATCCCTCTGCTTCCCAGGGTGCAGGACCCAGTGCCCCACTAACTGCAGGCAGTCCCAGCACAGCCAGGCAGGTGCCAACGAGCCCCACGAGTTCTGAAAGTCCCACTTTATAATTCGCTGGGTGGTTAAGGTTGGAAAAGACCTCCTAAGATGGCTGAGTCCAACCATCACGTCGGCTCCTGCCAGGCTCAGCCTTTGCCACGCATTGGGAAACCATTTGGGAAAAGGATTTCGAAGCAAAGCAACCTCGATACGTGAAGGATGGTGGGCAAAGCCGTACAACCCAACTCACAAAGGATGGGAGCTCTGTCCAACCCAGGAACCCCAGTGCCAGCGCTCAGCCCCTTCCCGGAGCTCCCTTACCTGCAGGTGTCGGGCCGTGTATCAGGGCCGGGTGTCGGGCTGCGCTCTGGGGCTGAGCAATATCCCCACCCATAGCTGCCCCAGCCCCGGGGCGGAGCACCGAGCGGAGCCCAGCCCCGCGGGCAGCACGGCACGAGGACACCCGCGGCGTCCCCTCCCAGCTGTTAGGAATGCCACCCCACTGAACACGGAGCAATCGGATGCATTGAAGGTTCCAACTCACTGCTGGGCCATCGCCCATCCCGGCGGCGCCCGACGTGAGTCATAGGATCATAGAGCCATAAAACCACCGAGGTTGGAAAAAGACCTCAAAGATCGAGCAGCAGGAGCCCAGCACAGCACGCTGAATCCACTCCTGGGGCGATGGCAGCGCTGCTTAAAGCGGGGCGAAAGGCAAAGACGTGCGGGAGTGCTGGAATGCCTTTACTGTGCAGGCAGGCTGAGGGTGCAGCCCAGGACAGACGGCTTTTCCAAGAGGTTCTGGTGTTTTTCATCTCCTGCTGCAAAAGTGTTGCAGCTTCAGTTACACAACAGACACAGCGTTACCAAAGCAGAAATGAAAACAGGAAACAGATCCCGAGCGTGGGTTCATTCACCGAATCACAGAACGGCCCGGGTTGGAAGGGACCTCAAGGATCACGAAGCTCCAATCCCCCACCAATGCAGGGCCACCAACCTCCCCATTTCACAGCAGCCCAGGCTGCCCAGGGCCCCATCCAACCTGGCCTTGAACACCTCCAGGGATGGACGGGGCATCACAGCCTCTCTGGGCAGCTGTTCCAGCACCTCACCACTCTCACAGCACACAACTTCCCCCTGACATCCAACCTCCATCTGCCCTCCCTCAACTCCAAACCATTTCCCCTTGTCTTGCCATCATCTCCCCTTTCCAAGAGCTGACTCCCCTCCTGTCTGCAGGCTCCCTTTAGGTACTGCAGGCTGCAATGAGGTCACCCCGCAGCCTTCTTTTCTCCATGCTGAACAAGCCCAGCTCCCTCAGCCTGTCTTTGTAGGGGAGGTGCTTCATTCATCTGAATGGGCTCAGAAAGCCTTTGCACGCAGTGCTGTTGGGCAGCTGCAGCATCAAGGAACTGGAGAACTGATGGGTTGGACCACGAGGGCCAGAAACATTCTCCAAACACAACTTGCTTCCTCCTGAGTTTATCTGACAGCATCATTTTGTGGTAATCCAGAAACAAAGGCAGAGCTGATCTGTGGAGCTGAGTGCTCACCCCACCCCTGGTGCTGTTTCACAGGACATCCTGGCACCACCCGCCCTAAGACAACACAGCACTGAGCATTTCCCTTTGATAGGCTGCCCTGCAATCATCCACAGAGCTTCAGTCTATTTAATTGTGTTTATTGAGGAGATTTCGTGTCATTGCCTCGTAGCAATATTTACTGTATGACTGCCATCTGGGTCAATTAACTGCATGCTCTGTTAGCTCAGGTTAAAAAGGGAGGAGAGGGCAAACAGGTTGCTGACACTGAAGAACTGCACAAGACCAAGCAGAGGATGCAGCTCTGGGCAGCCTGGGCTGCTGGTTGGTGACCTGCACACAGCAGGGGATGGAACTGGATGAGCACTGTGCTCCTGTGCAACCCAGGCCATGCTGTGATTGTACGAAAAATGAATTCAGAGACTGACCCAGAGCTCCTGTGCCCCTTTGCAGCCACCAGTGACCACAGACTGGAATTACCAACCCCTTACCATCGGTCCCAGAATGCTTCACACTGACCTATAGCAAGACTTAATGCCTTGTAGAATCATAGAACCATTCAGGTTGCAAAAGATTTTGAAGATCCCCAACCTCACCCAACCCCTGCCGTGCCTGCATCCCTCAGTGCCACATCTCCCTGGTTCTGGAGCACCTGCAGGGATGGCGATCCCAGCACTCCATGGGCAGCTGTGCCACCGCATCGCCGCTCTTTTGCAGAAGAAACATTTGCTCACATCCAGCACGAAGCTGTGTGCTGCTTTCCATCATTCCTGGGGACACCGAGTCCTGCAGAGACAAAAATCCCAACCTCGATGGCAGAGCTATCTACATCGGCTTAAATCACTTCAAACCAAGGAACTGCTGACTGGAAATGAACAATTCCTGTCTACTTTATAGGGCTGTTTGTTTTTTAGTGAGCCATACAGTCAACCCATAAAATTGTGAACCATCCAGGCTGGCGAAAATCTACAAGGTCATCAAGTCCAACCATCAGCCCTATCACCAAACCCCACCCCTCCACCACCTCCAGGGATGGGGAACTCCATCACTGCCCCACGCAGTGCCTGATCCCTCATCCACACGAAGGAACTCCTCCTGATGTCCAACCTAAGCCTCTCCAGCACAACCCGAGGCCGGTTTCCTCACATCCTATCATTTGACACCTGAGAAAAGAGACCAACACCTCCTCAGCGCCAACCTCCTGCCTTTGTGGCTCCATTCTAGAAAATGAGAGCGCAGGCAAAAAACCAGCACTTTGTGGGAGCAATTTGTGTCAATGGAGACTACAGGAGCCCCCGGCCCCCTCCAAATCCAATGCAGTTTGATGCAGGTCTGTGCAAAGAAGCAAACTTACAGTGCCATCTCCCAACCAACCCAAAGGCGCTGTGTGAAGAATCACAGCATGGCCTGGGTTGCAAAGGAGCACAGTGCTCATCCAGCTCCAACCCCTGCTGTGTGCAGGTCGCCAACCAGCAGCCCAGGCTGCCCAGAGCCACATCCAGCCTGGCCTTGAATGCCTGCAGGGATGGGGCATCCACAGCCTCCTTGGGCAACCTGTGCCAGTGCCTCACCACCCTCTGGCTGAAAAACTTCCTCCTCATATCCAACCTCAACCTCCCCTGTCTCAGTTTAAAGCCATTCCCCCTTGTCCTATCCCAGAAGCCACCACCATCCCCAGCACCACCCCACACAGCAGCCCTCCTTACCCCAAACAACGCTGCCAGGCACTGAACTGCTGCAATTGTCTCCTTCCTTTTTAAATCCATTGAGCACGTCCAATGAGGATGTCTCAAAGCAGAGGTCCCCCAGGAGGGCTCTCAAACAGCAGCACTGCCCTCTGCTGACTCCGGCGAGGCTCTGTACGTGCAGCCAGCAGCTCGTTCACTCGGCATCCGAGCCGTTTAGAGCAGGTAGCAGACAGCAGCTTTTGCTCGGTGTCAGACGCTGAGGAGCAGCAGGAGAGCACCATTCAATGATGCTACAGAGCTCAGCGGCGCTCAGCTCCTGTGCTGAGAGGTGCCTCTGCTACCGCGCGGTCCAGTTCAATCTCCAAGGATGGAAACTGCACGGCCCCTTTGGACACAAGCACTGCAGCACTCCACCAGCCTCGTGGTGAAGAGGTCTCTCAGTCTTACAGCAGCACCACCCGCTGCTTGCTCTAAAACGCTCTCCCCACCAGCTGGAAGCCTTCTTTAGACCTGAGCTGTGAGCAATGCCCTCCATCCCACACTGAGGATTTCAGCCGTAGCCTCAGCAGAACACAGCTGGCCATAGGAACATCGGGTTGCTCGGCTCCTTCCCAACCTCCCCCCAGGGTCAAACCTTCCCCAGATCCAACAGCTCACCCCGGTGTCCCTGGTGATGGCCAGGGAGCAAAGTCAGCTCCCAGGAGCGGCCTTCAGCCATTCTGCGATGCTGCAGGGGCTGCTCTGGGCACACGGCGCCCTGCTGAGCAAACCTGTGTGGGATCTGCATTTCCTATCCCAAATCACAGAGCGAACTCCTGGCCTGCTATTAAGCACAGAGGTTGGTGGCCCTGCCTGCAGCACGGGGTTGGAGCTTCGTGATCCTTGAGGTCCCTTCCAGCCCAAGCCATTCTGTGATTCACGCACAGCCACGCAGCCCCTCAGCACTTGTGAACGTGCCGAAGGCACAAAAACCACAAAAGGAAGAGGAAAAACACACAAGTCCAATAATTCTGATTTTATATTCAGTCGTTGCAAACCAAGGACGTCCTGTTTCTTTACTATTTAATTCAAGGCTAAAATAAAATAAAGTAAAATAAAAATCTACACAAGCATGCCAAGGGCTGTGAGTGAAGAACAGTGAACACGACAGTCTTGAAAATACGTTTAATGTCTAATCTTATACAAAAGTGACAGCATCTTCAAAAAAATATCAAATCCTGTATTTATAGCTTCTCACTATCATACAGCAATATTTGTTTCATCTAAAGAAAATACAGCAGCAGGTGATAATCTATACTTTAAAGATGTGATTGCTTATATTTCATATTGTAAACAAATGCAGTATGTCAACCTCAAAGCACAAAACGAACTCCTCAGCAATTTAACTCAAACGATGCATAGAAATGGACAAATTCCATTGCAAAAGCTTCAGGCCAGAAGTTGCTCACACTTGACATAACATGTGATAAAGTTACTACACGGCATATAGTGACAACTTGAGTTTTTACACAATAGATTAACAGGGATACCCTTTTTTTCACTGCTATGCAAAGAACTTGGCTCACAAAAACAAAGGGGTTATGAAACAGTTCTCATGACCTCAAGAAATACGAATATACATTGAAAAAACATCCCATATATACTGAATTTTAGCCTAAACGTTCCGGTAATTGATCCTGCCTACTTCAGGAAGAACCTGGAAGCCTGGTTACCAAAACAAATCCCCTTCCAGCAGTCATTCCTTGCTACGTTTGCTGCCCTCTCCTTTCCTACCTCTTCCCATTCCGCACAGACACAGAGTGCAATGTGGAACTGGAGGGTGCTGCACGATCCGCTCCTTTGGGACAGGTGTTGTTCATCACATTGGTTTATAACCTAAGGCTGCAGGTATTGAAATTAAAAGCACTTGAGCAAATGTAGGCAGTGTTCTACTGTGTTTATTTGGAATTGGTCTCGCCAAGATCTAAGTGAAGTGCGCTGCCCGGGGGGCCAAGGGGTTTGCTTAAGGTAATACTGACACTTTGGGTTCTGATTCCTAGGGTCAGAGCTGGCATTTATGCTGAAGTGTTACGCATTTCTCTTCAGCTCCAGTGCCATCTTCCTGTAACTGAGACAAGAGATGCTCGTACCTTCAGTTTTCATGGCAGACTCAAGGAGCCCCAGCTCTCCCCTGCAGGGACACCGCAGTGCTCTGCCATGGGCCGGCGCAGCCAACAGGCACCACTGCCAGCTCAGCCCACTTGTTCTGAAGTTCATCACATGCATGCAGGAAGCCATGGCAAGGTACGGGAAGCGAATTAACTTGCTTTCACAGTTCCACAATACGAAGACTCCCTAACGAGCTACACGTTAAGCAACACTGATTCCTAATTCTACCTACAGAGGCTAAGTTAGGAGATCCCCACCCGAGGAGAAGCGAAACGTCCACGCTCAAATCCAGGCTATGAAATGCCACCAGAGCTCCTCAGCAACGCGTGGCTGTGCCTCAGTAACGCCGCACCAGCAGTCACCCCAGCACAGATATGGCAAGAATATAAAGCTTCCTGCAGCGCCCCTTCCAGAGCAGGGGCAGCCACACAGCAGCACACAGCTTCTAAACATCCCAAATTACGCTCTCAGTGAGGTATGCAGGCACCTGGCCGGGAACGGAGCGCTGCTCTCCATTCCCACGTTCAGTGGAGCCCCGGTGAGGTTTGCTCGTCCCCAGCTGTGGCAGTAAGGATGGCACAAGGGAATGGCTGGAGCAGATAGAAAGAAAAGCCTCGCCAAAACCTGCTGGGAAGGGAATGGCCAGGCTGGTTTTCTTCACCTTTTAAGCTCAAGTTCAGTTTCTAGGGACTCTGAAAACACCCGCTGAGTTTACACAACTCGGCAGACAAGTCAAATTTAAACAACCAGAACCCAGGTTAGATATAGGGAAGTACTTTACCTACGTGGGAGTTAATGCTTTACACAGACCAAGTCAAACCTCCAACCACCACAGAACGAGAACTGGCAAAGCGAAGTCCTCATGGGCATGCATGAAACTCACAGCGGTCCGTGAAAGGGAACGGCAACATCCAGCTCTGCACTGCACAGACAGCAGCAGGGCGCCGGCCGCTCACAGCCAGCATTTCAACGCACGCCTCCTCCTCCTCCGCAGTCCCAGACCGGGCCGTTAACTGTGTGCAGGATTTACAGAGTGCTGAGAAAGCCTTCGAGTTCACGCGCTCCGTCTCTGTCGTTTCCATTACTGCAGCACGTTCAAAAATTACATTTCTTGACCAAAAAAAAAAAAATCTTGAAATACTTTTTATTGACATTTTAGAATAACCTGAAAATAGACAAGATACGACCATCCATCCATTCAACAACCAGCACGAGTCCGGCAACGAGACTTAAAGCATTCGTGGAAATTTAAGCTGTTTCTGATTCGCAAGTCCTTGTGCCTGATTCTTTAGGATCCTTACTTGGCAGCTCTCACTTTCCCAAGGAATATTGGCCAGAGTAAGAACCACGGATTTCAGTTTTACTTCTGCTCTCTGTAGCTCGTTTCATTAAACCAAACAATTACGCCAACATACGAGCAAGTTAATGTTATGCAAATTGCTAAATTGCTCCTTCATACCTCAAATGCACATACAAGAGGCAAGTATTCTTCATAGCCCCAAACATTACTGAAACAAAAACTGTAAAAATCTCTGTAAGTAGTGGATGAAGGTGGAAAGCTACAGTACTTTGTTGCCCAGAACGTGTTCAACGGTAAGGCTGCAAGAGACAACGAGAATTGGTGGTCATTGCAGGGCTTTCACAAAGCAGTTCATTAGCATTACAGCACTTCTTAGCTCAAGAACATTTGACCATGGGTTGTTATTCCCCGTGCGTCCTGAAAAGCAATCTCTCCAGACTACACACTACACTATCTTTCATCCCTGAACATTCTTACAAGTCTCTTCCCCTTTATTTTTTCTGTCTTTCCAACAAGTGGAAGACCACTACAGCGCAGTGCTCAGACAGGCTCCAACCAGATGGAATGTGACTCTCTGGTGCACGAAGTTCAATGTTTAAGCAGAAAATTGCCTGTTATCCCACTGACTGCGCAGACGAGCCCTTAAAGTTCTTACCTGCATTAATAGGTCTTTTGCTACCCAATTCCCACGCTTAAAAACGTATCGAGAATAATTCACCGATAACAAAAAACGAAGTCAAAGAACGGGTTGAAAAGGACAACAGTGAGCATCCAGTTTCAACCCTCCTGCTGCCTGCAGGCTCGCCCAACCACCAGAGCAGGCTGCCCAGCGCCACATGCAGCACATATACTCACATGGGGGCCGCCCGGCATGGACGGAGCACCAGCAGGACCAGACGGCACTTGAAAAGGATTAGGGGGCGTAGGATAGAGTCCTGGAGCCGGGTACGATCCTGCGGGTGGAGGAAACGGACCTGGCGGCGAAGGTCCCCACGTTCCAGGTGGGACTGTGCCCCACGGTACCGTCGGCGCCGCTCCCGGAGTCTGGGCAGGAGCAGAGTACGGCCCTGGGGGGGGATACGGCATGCTGGGTGCGGGATACTGCCCCGCCATCGTCGGTCCCCATGCTGCAGAGGGCATGGATCCCCACGGCCCGACGGGAGCGGGAGGCGCAGCCGGCTCCGTCGGAGCGCCATAAGGTCGTGGAAGCTCTGGAAAGGGCATGTTTGGCGGAGGATACTGCCCAGGAGGGACGGGGCCCGGCACGGCTGGGGGCGGATACGGACCTCCGGGAGGAGGGCAAGAGGGTCCGCTAGGAGGAGGAGGAAATGGAGCAGGCGGTCCGGGGGGCATTGAAGGATACATTCCTGTAGGAGGAGGTCCGAAGGGCACGCTGGAAGCGGAGGTGTTGGGCGGCAGCGCCGAGGGCCCGGCGGGGGGAGCGCTCGGGTTGTTCCAAGGATTCGAGGGCGGCCAACCCTGAGGCGGCTGGGAGGGCTGCTGGCCGGGCTTCGCGCCGCTCACTTTGGGGGTCTTAGCGGGAGACTGATCGGGCAAAGCATCTGCCAACTGAGAGAGAAAGGGCCGTGAGCACGGCAGATCCCTGCGGGAGCTGCTGGCTGCCCACCTTCACCCACTACACAGATGCACTGCAGCTGCCTGAACGGGAGGAAAAGAGCATCTGCCGCTGCAGAGGGCTGCGTTCACTTTGAGCAGCTTCTATGGTTAAAGGAGAGAGGCATCCTGACGTGCCACAGTTCTAAAGCCAAAGATAAAAGGCAACCTGCAGCAGTGGAATCATAAGCAATTCTGGTATAAATCCAGGAAGAAGAGTTGTAAGTTTCCATTGTAGCTATTCTGATGCTATCAGGACAACGGTCCTCTGTGAGCACCGCAGCAGAAGAGAGCCTGCAAGGCACACCTGGAGGCCACAGACTGTTAGCTCTGCCCCAAAGCAAAGAGCTGCTACTGCAATGCCAAGGCAATCATCTCAGCTGAGAGCTGCCCCTCTTCTCACAGAAGTGCCTGAGCAGAACGAAGTAATACAACTGGCAGATGTTCAGGAACAAAAAGCCATTACTTACCGAAAAATCATCAGTTCCAGACATTTTGCTGAAAAGTAAGGTAAAATAAAGTGAAATTCCTTGAAAATAAAGTACATCGAGGAAGAGTTCGATAAAGAATAAAGAATTTGACATTTGTCTCATTCAAACCCAAAGGGATGTCCAGCTGGCAGAGCTTCTCACCAATGGTTCCATCCCAACCACTGGGGTGCAGACGGACAGCAGCCACCCAAATGCTCTCCCTCAATACAGGAGCCAGGAAACAGCAGAACTGCAGCCTCCATCTCATCTCAGATGGGAGCAACGCAGTGTAAATGGGTCACAACACCAAGAAGAAATATTTCAGGTATTCGTGCCAAACAAGCAGCCTCTGCAGCAATGCCAGCAGGTATCCAGGCTCTATTCTAAACTGGGACTCGGAGAAGTTGGTGAAGTCAATGCCCCTAAAATTAAACACGATTACACCCCCATTCAGATCTTATTTTCAGAAGTACCAAACGTGGGTTTTAAATACACTGAAGTCGGTGGATGCTCCGATTTGCTTTCACTGACTTCAGCCAAGCAGTCTTGAATGCAGGCACAAGGAAAGCCTCTAACAAGTGCCTGATTCCTGACCTCTCAACACCTCATGAGAAGTGTTGCAAGACGGCCCCAGCAGAAAGGCTTATAAGCCTCCCACTGAATTCCAATCTACATAATGCAAATATTTCACATGGAACTGAACCTGTTTTAGTAAGGTCTGTTTTTAAATCGACACAATTTGCTAATGGTAAAACAGCACTGCTGTGGGCAGTGGGACAATGAGCTCAGCCCCCATTTCATCTTCAGCAGCGTCTGCAGGGAAGAACAGCAGCAATGACAGCTCAGTGCTTCCAACCATCCAAGGCACCTCTGTCACTTTCAGGTGATGCTCCTTCGTTCTGCAGATCTGTTCTCACCCAGCCCCTCTCTGTGCTGCTCATTACTGTGTGTTCTTCCCATTTCTTCCCATTCTCTTCCAGCCGTTCCTCCTCCGTGCTGAGATGGAGCCGATTCCACTCCCCCTTGCACAGCACCTATTCCATCCCCTCCAGTATCCTCACTGCTTCTCTTTGAGGTTCCTCCAATTCTTTTGTATCTCTTGAGATGAACGACAAGAAAAAGCCACAAAGAATCCAAAATGTGGGAGAGCCACTGATTTATACAGTTCCATAATTATGTTCTGGTTCATCCTCTATTTCCTTCCCAATACTTCTTCACGTTTGATCTTCTTTTTGCTCACTGCTGAGACTGACTCCCACAGCAGTACTTTGTTCTTCAGTGTTAAGGGTCAGCCCATCATTTTATATACGAAGTGATGCACACAATTTCACATTCAAGCTCTCTGAATCACATCACATTTATCTACATTGAATTATGTTTGCCATTTTATTACCTAAGCCTTACTTTCCTGACAGCACGACTCTGCTCATTTCCCAGCAACGATCCATCAGGCAACCAAAGCCCTGCAGAAGCAGAGTGAACTCCTCAGCTGTAGGTGAAGTTATGGGATGGCAGAGACCATCTGCCATGGTTTATGTTGGATATGAGGAGGAAGTTCTTCAGCCAGAGGGTGGTGAGGCACTGGCACAGGCTGCCCAAGGAGGCTGTGGATGCCCCATCCCTGCAGGCATTCAAGGCCAGGCTGGATGTGGCTCTGGGCAGCCTGGGCTGCTGGTTGGCGACCTGCACACAGCAGGGGTTGGAGCTGGATGAGCTCTGTGCTCCTGTGCAACCCAGGCCATGCTGTGATTCTGTGACAACGGATGGCTGCAGCAGAAAGAGGCCTGCATGCAAAGTGCCACCAAAAATCCCCAATATTTATCAGCTGATTATTTCAAAAGACTTCTGTGCTATGAAAATTAAGGAAACAATTCTGCTGCATGGCTGTTAGGAGAAAACCTGCAGCAAAGCACAGCTTCTGATAGAGATTTAGTGGCTCTCTCACTTTGGCAAGCAGACTGGAGCAACATTTGCTGGCAACATTTGGCATAACTGAGACAGTGCCAAGCATGTCAAGGATCCTCTTGCAGACAGGATGGCCTTGTTTGGGGACCTTCCTCAAACACCCATTTCATCTGTGCAGTGCCACCTCCATTTATTAAAGGAGTGACTCTGGTGCTGATAGACACACTCACCACACAAACCCATCTAGAATCCATATGCCATTCCAGCTGCACAGCACCGAACTCCAGTCAAAACCTCCCTGAAATACCAGCTCTATCTGCAGCACTGCCCAAGGCATCCACGTGTTCAAAAAGAAACTCTGACATTGTTGGACCCAAGATCTCAGGGTCCCCACTGCCAACCTGTGGGCTCACCATCTCAGAAAACACACTGTTGCATTGATGAGGCTTTTAGCACAAGTGGGCTTGGAGTCTCCCTTTGCAGTTCTGTGTAGAAAAGCCAGTCACAGAATCACAGCCCACAGATCAGACATCTCTTCCTGCTGCATTTAAAGCCTACTTCAGACTGCACTTTCTTGGGGCGAGGGGAAAAAGAAGAGCGAGTAGAAGGAGGAGGATTCAAGGAGTTTAAGTAATTTGGCAGGCAGGAGAAAGGCCACAGAACTGGCAGCATTCAATCCAAAGTCCTGCTTGCATCCACACTGCTGCAAGACAACATTTCCTTTGTGCTGTGCAGGCCAACGCCCCTGGCAGCACCCTGTGCTTCACAGAAGCACTCAGCCTGCAGCTCCAGACACAGCATAGGGCCAAAAACATCAAACTGAAGTGAGGCAAAGAGGGAACACCGGTGTCTGGGATAAACAGAAGGACAGCATGAGGAGCAGAATCTCCCATCCTTTATCCCGAGCTGAAACTTGGCACGGAGGACTTCCAGCACACCTACCCAGAAACTACAGAAACAGCCTGCAGACAAGAATCCAAGGCCTCCTGGACACCCAACAACTCACCTCTAATTACTAGGAATTAACAACATGCAGGTGAGAATGGCAGAGGCCCAGACGTGCTCCTCTGCAGCACCGCCAGGCCAGTCCTACCTGCAGCACCGAACACCAGCTGAATACACAGCAAGCTTCAGAGCTCTGTGGAAACCCCACTGCTGGGCTTGATGCTCTGTAAGGCAAACCAAACCCTTCAGCCTCCGCCATAAAACAGCCCCACAGCGTTTCTTCAGCTCTGTGTCCTCTCTGCTCCCATCAGAACCAAGTGGAAATGAGCAATGCAGGAGCATTTTTCCCATGCTCTTGCCCTCCCGGGCTTTTCTTCATCACTGGTCCCCGGTGGCTGCCATTAGAAAGAGCCGCCCCAAACCCTGCTTCCTTCTTTTGCTAAAGCTATTCAAACAAAGCCTCGACTGTTTTCATAACTTCATCAGCTGCACAACATTTTCTGCACTCTTGATGTGACAGATTGAGTTCCCATCTCCAAGATCACAGAATCAGAATCACAGAATGGCCAGGGTTGGAAGAGGCCTCAAGGATCACAAAGCTTCAACCCCCCACCAATGCAGGGCCACCAACCTCCCCATTTCACAGCAGCCCAGGCTGCCCAGGGCCCCATCCAACCTGGCCTTCAACACCTCCAGGGATGGACGGGGCATCACAGCCTCTCTGGGCAGCTGTTCCAGCACCTCACCACTCTCACAGCACACAACTTCCCCCTGACATCCAACCTCAATCTGCCCTCCTTCAACTTCAACCATTTCCCCTCACCCTGCTGTTATCTCCCCTTTCAGAGTTGATTCCCCTGAGATCACCTTCCAAAGAGCAACAGAAATCCTCAATGCAACAGGCACAGCTGCATTTCCACCGGGTGGCACAGCTCTATCAGCAAAGAGCTTCTTTTGTCACTGTGACATGACTAATGCCTACCAGCAAAACCTCAGCTACAACAGGATTCCTGCCTACATAACTCTAACTACCAACACAGCTACGCAGATCAAATGCAAGAGAGACCACTGCCAGCTTCTACTGCAGCTTCTCCCTTCAGGCATTAAGCATCAGCAGTTTATAGCTGCCCTTCTCCATTTTTAGGGTCTTTTGGATGCCACAATCCAGCACCATGCAACAATTTCTCCTGACCTTTATCCATTAGGGAAATAAACGGCAGGGAGACCGAAGATAAAAAGCAACAGTTGCATAGTTAGCAGCTGCTTTAAACGCAGTGATCTTTTTGTTCTCTCCTCCGCCTGTTTTGACGGAAAAGAAGGCAGGAGGAGGGTTTTTAGTCTTCAGATTGTCAGCACTGATCTCATCGTGAATGACAACCACAACGACGCTCGTTAGCGCGTTTGCTATAAATTACCAACGACCAGAAAAAAAAAAACACAATTCAAAACAGAAGTCTTACCAGTTTCCAAGGCCCACAAAATACACGGCCATAAGGAACTGTAATCTGTTCCGTTTCTCCACACAAAACAAGCCGTTCTGTTTCACAGCTGCCTCCCCTCCTAAGATGAGACCTGATCACTTCGGGTGGCCCCAACATCACAAACAGAAGCTTCCCAAACCAGCAAACATACATCAGTGCTGAGGTGGCTTATCTGTGTGCCAGCTGTGCTGCAAACCAGCAGAAAACTGCAATTCTCCACTGCCAAAGATCACTCCTGGCCACAACAGGGGGTGGTGAGGCACTGGAACAGGCTGCCCAAGGAGGCTGTGGATGCCCCATCCCTGCAGGCATTCAAGGCCAGGCTGGATGTGGCTCTGGGCAGCCTGGGCTGCTGCAGGGGGTTGGAGCTGGATGAGCACTGTGCTCCTTTGCAACCCAGGCTGTTCTGTGATGATTCCATGAAGATCCTACCCTAGGAGTTTTACAGAGATGTGAGTCGAGCAGCTCCAAGACATTTAAAACATCTCTTCCATAGCAGCTTCTGAACATTCCTCAGAGACATGCAGTCCATTTTCACCACATTGTCCTTGTTTTGAGAAGCCTACTTATGTATTTCCAACTTTAGCTTTGTTATCAATTCTTTGGAAGCCTTCCTGAACTACCTGTAAATGTTAATGAACACCTACATCCTCCTCCTAACAACGCTACATACTCACCAATTACCAGCTAAATGTGAGCAGTTATTGAAGGTCCTTCTTGTTTTTAAAGCAACACCAAAACTATGTGTCATCTTCCAGTATCAGCCCCACCGATGACAAACAGAACTCCACACCCTTCTGCTTCTCTGCAGAGATCCTTCTCCAGCATAACTGCTTTTCAGAATACAGCCTCACCAAATGGACACAGCTGGTGCCTTTTCATTCTCGATTCCTCACTGACAGGGTATGCTTGAATGAACTTCAGCTTCAAAATTACCTGAAGTGCTCTCCAGGAGGAGCTTGATGGTTGGCACACATTTTAACATCAGTCATTGGTCCCACTGCTCTAGGGAAGGGATGCTTCAGGACGTGCCTTCTTAAAAATTATTGTTTAAAAAATAAAGACCCCTTGTTTCCTACATCCACAGACAAAAAGGTTGAACTGCACGAGGTGATCATTTTCCTTTGAATGCACCTCAAAACCCGTTTCCCTGGCAAATAGGCAGCTCGGTCTCCAGGAAATGCTCTCTTCAATTTTGTCCCTTTGTCAGTGAGTCACCCACCTGAAGGATAGCAACACTCGAGAAAACAAAATGACTTCTCACAAGCCACAATCACAAACCTGATTCGGGACTTCTCTTAATGAGAAACGTTTAACGGTTATTTATACACCGCATTTATATATTCATTTATAAGCTCAGATCCTAACAGTGGAAACCGACCAAATATTTCACCCAGCCGAAGCAGCACAACCCGCTCCCCCGAGGCCTAAAATAGGGATCGTCACGAACCAGCCAGCTCGGCTTCCCAGCCCCCAGCCCCACCTAGGCGCAGGCGGCCGCAGCCAACGTGCAGCCCCTCCCCGTGACCTCGGAGCCCTACGCCCACCCCGCCCCGAGCTCCCGCCACTCCCCTCAGGGCAGCGACCACCGGCGCCGCCCCCGCGTGGCTCCACGGGGCCTGGAGGGGCGCAGCCGGCTGCGGCCCAGCGGTCCCCGGAGGCGGCTCCGCGGTTGAGTTGAGAAAGGCGGCGCCCCGCCGCTCGGGCCCTCCATCCCCCCCTCCCTCCTCGTGTGCCGGTGCCCGGGGCCGGGCGGGTACCTGCGGGAGTAGCGCGGCGCGGCACAGGCCGGAACAGAACCAGGCAGCAGGCGGCGGCCCGCAGCACCACCGCCTCCCCTACGCCCAGGCGGAAGCGGAAATGCGTCACACGCCCCGCCCCCGCGCCGACCGGAAGGGTGGGCGAACTAAGCCCCACCCAACCCACGTGACAATCCCCCATTCGTCCCGCCCTTCTGCGGTCACGTGGTTCTGCCCCTCCCCCACCGCCGCTGAGGGGAGGTGGGGGTGGGCGCGGCTCTTCCGGCCCTTCTGGGCGCCGCGCGGCAGCAGGGCGCCGTGGGCCGTGTCCGCGCCGATGCGCGCTGCTTTCCCGTATTCACATTTATTCACATTTATTCACATTCACCCCCATCTCCTGTCAGGGAGCTGTAGAGAGCAGTGGGTGCTCCCCGAGCCTCCTCTTCCCCACACTGACCCACCCAGCTCCCTCAGCCGCCCCCATCAGCCCTCCCCGCTCCCTTCCCCTCCCTTAGCGCACTCCAGGGCTCCGTGTCTCCCTTGCATGCCGCCGACCCACGGTAGTGTCAGGAGCAGTGCTTGGAGGTTGTAACGCACAGCCCTGGCTGCGTCCCGTTGGAAGACATTGGTACACGCTCCGAACTGTGCAGTGGGAAAAAAAAAAAGAAAAAAAAAAGTTGGGATGAAATTACAAGTTCAGAGCCTGCATGCAATTCTTAGGGAAGACAATGGAAGCTGTGTGTAAAAAAATTGGCTCCGAATTGTAAGAAGCGTTGTTTTCCATCAGTCCACTTTGAGTCCTGCTGTGGGATTATTTCAGTTATTCAGAAAGGGAGTTTTGTGCCTCTGTGAGAGCAGCTCTGCATCGTAGGGCCTGTGCTGTTGCCTCTGCATTACAAACCTGGGCCACTGTTTTTTATCATATAACATTTGGGCTGCAAAGCAGCAGTGCTGTAACCTCCTGTTCAAAACAGGGCCAGCTTCGAACCTTGGCCTGTTGCATTTTGAGCATCTCCAAAGAGAGAGATTGCACGACATCTCTGGATATCCAGTGCAGTCCTTACACACCAGCACAGTGAATACCACCATTATGCCCCGTAACAGTCAGACTTTCCCTTGCTGTGACTTGGGATTCGTTGTCCTTTCGACACGTGGGAGCATCTGTCTGCTCTGTAAGCCCCCAAGCACTGTGCCCTCCCCAGCTGTATGAGTGAGCTGCCTTCTCAATGGATCAGGATCCCTTTTGTCTTTCAAAGGCCAAACTGTGTGCCTGAGAGCGACAGACCATACCAAAAGTAGGTCTGTTATTCTGTACTACAAGCAATACGGTACTATTCACCAGCAGGCTGATCTCAGGTGGGCTGAGAATGCAGTGGTGTAGGCAGTGCGAGCATCCGGATCTCTCCTGTTGGATTCTTGCTTACATGACACTGGATTTCACTTGATAACTTTCCAGCCTGTCAGATTTAGTATTTCGCAGGGACAATAACAGAGGTTTTGAAATGTGACAAACATTGCCGTTGGGAAACTTTATTGCACCCAGAGGGCAGTGCATGCCACAGGCAGTAAGTCCAGAGGAACAACAACAGTATGGATTTTGTACCTTCTGCTTTTACAGCAGCCAGTCAGAAGGTGGAAATCGAACACATGGCGGAGGCGTCCCTTTTTCACCTAACTGGAAAGTGAAAGGATTCGTTTTGTGGGGTTTTATTCTTTTTTTTTTTTCTTTTTTTTTTTTAATAGGATTAAAATGATGGACTGTGACATCAGTCTTAGTGAAGAAAATGCCAGCCTTTGATCATAGAATCCTAGAATGGCCTGGGTTGCAAAGGAGCACAGTGCTCATCCAGTTCCAATCCCCTGCTATGAGAAGGACACCAACCAGCAGCCCAGGCTGCCCAGAGCCACATCCAGCCTGGCCTTGAATGCCTGCAGGGATGATGATGGGCTGGAAAAGCGAGATCCGAGATAGAAAGCTTCAGTTGCAGTGTTGGTTCTCTCTGGGTTATGTCACTCCGCTTTTATATTCATGCTTCAGTGTACATTGTGAACATTATGCACTCGGAAGAATGAGCTGAGCCACCCTGAAGCTCGATTTTAAAGGATACCAGATGGTATGTTCAGTGCACGTGGTAAGCTTTTATATGCTTTCCCCTGTGGCCAATCACCGACTGATAATTTATTTCAAAGCCCTCATAAAATAAATCACTTTGAAAATGACGCTGTCTCTAGTTAATAAGCGCTCCTTCTCAAGGCAGAAGGTTGTTGCCATGAAGATAAAATCATAGGACTGGTTCAAAGTGCGTGGGGATGGCAAATGCACCCTATTGAGAAGATGAGATAAACTGGATTGAGCTGGAAAG